TGATACAGTCACCAAAAATAAATACTAAGTATAATAAGTAAATAAATTAAATGTGGTCTATAAAACTACCACTAGGTATAATAGGTCAATAAATTAAAAGTGGTTTATAAAACTACCACTGTGCGAACCCTTTCTCCAGTTAAAACATGTCAGTCATGTGCAAAATCAATCAAAATGGTAAGGTGGTAAAAAAGGGAAAATTCTTTCGATACATCAATTATATATGCCTCAGATTTAAAAGAATTAGAAGATACTTAGTTATCGTCGACTATGATTGCAGTGTAAAATTTTGAAAATCTTGAGGTGATTATTAGACTCGATTTTCAGAACGCCGATTGAAAATCGCTCGTGCATTACAATTACACATAAGCCCTGACCTTAGACGATTATTTCGGCTAGGAAGAATATTTTTCCATGGGACCAAAGCAAAGCGGCTGGTAGATATCACTCCCCTCTATCAGAAACAACTATAAAGTCAATTTCGAGAGAATTTTGATGAAGACCCCCCCCCCCCCCCCCCCCCCCCCCCGGCTCCCTTAACACTGAACAGGAACAGGCTTAGAAAGTTAAAACAACTGTGCAAAGATGCATATGATTAAAGTAAATAAGGATGATGATTATTCTACACTGGACTATCACGTGATGCGCCAGCATGTAACGTTACGCCACTGCTGCAAGGGACCCTCTCAGAAAAATACCCACATTATATTTAAGTGATTGAGCAAAGTTGAGTTTTAAAAAGGATTGCACCTTACCTGTAACCCAAATATAGACAATGGCAAATTCTTAAAACAATGGTCAGTATATGTATCTGGATACTGGGTGGAAGGTGAACCACATTTACTACTTTTTGATTTAGGATTTTGATCCAGGTTTTTGATCAAACGCCAAACTTGGTCAGTTTTAGCCAAACGTCGCCAAAATAACACCTAAGCCATTAATGATCTTTTTATATCTTGATCATGTCACAAATGGCAGTTATGCTATGCTAATTCAATAGACAATATTATATGACTACATTTGCTAGTCTTTTCATTGGCTTAACTCTAAAAGTGAAAACTTTTCCAGTAAAATCTTTTCCAGCTTATTCTGAATCAGAAAACTAAATTATCCAAACCAATTTATTGCCACTTTTTGATTTAGGATTTTGATCCAGGTTTTTGATCAAACGCCAAACTTGGTCAGTTTTAGCCAAACGTCGCCAAAATAACACCTAAGCCATTAATGATCTTTTTATATCTTGATCATGTCACAAGTGGCAGTTATGCTATGCTAATTCAATAGACAATATTATATGACTCCATTTGCTTGTCTTTTCATTGGCTTAACTCTAATTTGGCTACAATTGACCATGTTTGACAAATCAATAAATGTTTGACAAATGTTTGATCAAAAACTTGGTTTCAGCCCCTACCCTTTGCACAAAGAGCAAACTCTCTCAAAATTACATACATTGTAATAACTTTTTAAAAACTACTGCATTAATAAAAGTGAAAACTTTTCCAGTAAAATCTTTTCCAGCTTATTTTGAATCAGAATACTAAATTATCCGAACCAATTTATTTTTAATATAAATGTATTTTCCTAGTTGGGATATCCTTCGAGAAGAATGAAAAATTAAAAAACTGACTTTCTTATTCCTCCGTAAAAAACAAAACAAGTCTCAAAGTGAGTTTAAACAATTCCCCATTAAATTTTTGTTGATACACATTGCACATAATTATTTTAGTATAAAGTTTAAAGTTTACATTTTACGTTATGTTGGTTGGAGGACTTCGCCGGCCGCTTCGACGCGCAAACTATTATTCGTATTTCGCATCGCAATCGTTGCTTTGTTAATATATAATTTTGTTAATATATAATTTGCAAAGCAACGATCTGGAAGGGTTGACGTCGTCAATCATTGTCATACGTTGTATGACCCACCGCGCACGAAGTGCGCGGCTCCCCTCGTATCGTCAGGACGATACGAGTGAAACGACCGTGGGGGTCGCAACGTGATACAAGTCAATCAAACGTTGGTTATTTTTTGCAAAATATAGTGCGCGCCGAATTTAATTAATATGTATTGACTTCTACTGTCAATACCCATAAAATATTATTTCAAGTATCATCGATTTATTCGATGAGTTGCAAAGCGATTTGTGCGGTGCATACAGCGCGGCTCGCAATGCACAAATGCCCTATCACTATTTTCTTAGTCATTTGTAAATTATAAACAAATAAAGTTGATTTTACATACACCAGACTCAATTTGACTAATTTTTTAGTTAAATAAAATTTGAATTATTAGATTTAAATTATTTGACTATAAATCAGTGATTAACCTAATATTTTGATTCACGATGTCAATCCTTCGCAGCTCGGTGAGGCACAGTGGTGCATCTCGCCGATCTACCGAAGATCGGTTGCGAGAAGCATTATTTGATGCGCGCGCGACCCAGTAGTGCATCGCGCTACAACCTAATATTTGTCATATGTTGTATGACCCGCCGCGCACGAGTGCGCGGCTCCCCCTGTATCGTAGAAACTCCACTATAGTGAAGCGACAGTGGGGGTCACCACGTGATACAACCTAATATATAGTAATAAATAAAAATGTTAAAATAACGGGTGATACTCGTTGCTCGTAAAATATTTGTTTCAAAGACCGTCGACGAGTCCAACACTGGTCACATAAACAATAAAATAATAATTTAATATTTTGTTTACTTTTTACAATAAATATCGAAATTTGACTTTATTAGGTTTTAATTGACAATGTCAATTCAGAATCCTTTCTAGCTTTGCAACTTTTAGCGGCCCATTATTGCATATCAATAGTCCATTGCTAAGATTTGAGGTTGCAAAAAACGTTATATGATGTGCGCGGCGCAGTCGGCCAAGTAGTGCATCGCGCAACAAACACGTATAATTTTTATAAAATTATTTATTAACCAAAGCTTTGAGTTAGTTAAATTGGTATTGTCACTCGAAAGACAATAAAAAGAAAATTTTTTTATGGAAAACATAATTTTTTAATTTGTAATAAATTGTTTGTACATCCAATTATGAAAATATATCCTGTCGCTGTTGAACGTACTATACCCTACATTATTGATTGACAATGCTAACCCTTCAAGATCGTGGCTCTGCATTAATCAGATTAATTAATAATTAATAATTTTGATGCGATGCACAACTGACCATCAAATAATGCTTCTTGCTTCCACAAATACGAAGCACTACTGAGCTGCTATGAGCTGGGAAGGTTTGGCATCGGCCATCGATAATAAACTACCGACAGATGATCGGCCTTAATAGATTGACGATCGGCAGACGGGGATCGGACCTCGTCGCCAAATTGGTTTACTTCTTTTTTAATCGATATTGACTGCTAAGGGATAATTTACCTGAGGACCCCAGGCTATTATGTTCCAAATAAAGATTTGGCGGAATGACAGGCTGAGCGCGGCCCAGTAAGACTTCTTTCTTAGGCTTCGATAGCGACTTTGGGTTACACAGGAAAATCATATCTCTACATCTGTTAACAGTTAAATTGTGCACCGATGATTAAGCCTCACATTTTGGGCAGCAATCGATGGAGGCTCTGCACTCGCTTGGTTGATCCGTATTTTAAGACTCAATAATAACTGGTAAACTCAATTAGGGCCATTATGTGCACACATTGTGTTGTGTTGCAATACAATAAACCTTGATATGAGCTAACATCAACACCAAATGCAATTTAAGCTCAGTTAAATGACATCTTGCACAAGCTGGTAAATACAAAATACTGGTTAAGTAAGTAAGTAAGTAAGTAAGTAAGTAATAGTACAAGGTGCTTTTACTGCAGTGCTTGCCTGTTTGAGGGTGGGCGACAATTGACCCCCCGACAATTGACCCCCCGACAATTAATCCCCCAACAATTAACCCCTGACAATTGACCCCCGACAATTGACCCAGTGGCGTAACGTTACTTTGTGCCGCCCCCCTGCTGATTGAAATTTGCCGCCCCTTTTCCGCCCCTAAAATTTTGTGTCCCTAAAAAAAAAAAAAAAAAAAAAAAAAAAAGGTCGGGTACTTTTTTTGCCGCCCCCTACACCTTTTTTCCGCCCCCTGAAGCAACAATGGTACCCCAAATATTTTTTCACGTCGACCGAACGCTAAATTCGACAGGGTAGTACACCAATAAGGCGCTTTTTCCGTGAAATCAGACCTACAATCCAGGAAAATGCCGCCCCCCTAAGGTGCCGCCCCCCTGCTAGCAGGGTTAGCAGGGGCGGTTGTTACGCCCCTGAATTGACCCCCCGACAATTGACCACCCGACAATTGACCACCCGACAATATAATTTAATACAACTGACCCTGACCCTGACCCTGACCCTGACCCTGACCCTGACCCTGACCCTGACCCTGACCCTGACCCTGACCCTGACCCTGACCCTGACCCTGACCCTGACCCTGACCCTGACCCTGACCCTAATATAACCCTAACCCTAACCCTTACCCTAATATAACCCTAACCCTTACCCTAACCCTAATCCTAACCCTAAGCCTAACTCTAACCCTAACCCTAACCCTAACCCGATCAATTGACCCCAGTGTAATTACATGGGGGGTCAATTGTCGGGGGGGGGGGGGGGTCAATTGTCTTACTAAGCCCTAGATTTCGCGACAATTGACCCAGTGTAATTACATAGGGGGTCAATTGTCGGGGAGTCAATTGTCGCGGTACCCTGTTTGACTGTGCATAGATTATTTCCGGTTTCTTATATTATCATCTACTCTATAATTTATGATGTTTTCGGTTACTAAGGGACAAGGGTTGACTAGAAGTTAATAGACTGTGATGTATTTAATCATATACAGCTCACTTAACACTCCTTTATATCTTCTTTCGTTATATCAGGGGAACAAATTCAAGTTAACGATAATTATTTTATATAAAGCTTGATTTTATCTACGTATGTATTTATTATTGTTTTCAGCCATTTCAAGTTTTTCATTTGGCCTTGACTCAGGATGGAGGTTTATGAGGCAGAGTTGGTTTCAGATGAAAAAGATGAAGAGGAAAAAGTAGAGAGTCTTTCCGAAAATAGTGGGACTTTGTAAGTTTTAGTTTAGATAAAGAAGTTCAAGTTTAATGAAGCCATGATCGAATTCTTAATAATAATGTAACGTAAAAATGTATAATGTATATTAATATAACATTATCATCATTATTACTGTTTCAGGGAGGGAGATCAAGTTATAGCCAAAAGGAGTGAAACTGATTTTCTTCCAGCTTCTCACAACAAAAAGAATCTTTCTTTTAGTACATTCGAAGCAGACAAGATACAATCTGATAACGACAGGATACTACAAAATTTAGTCGAAATTCAAGTAAGATTAGATTCTTGAATTCAATTATTGTACTTTAACCTGGTATTATTGTTCTAAACTTATTTTTGAAGAATAGGAATAGTATTGTCTTAATTTCTAATCAAACTGTCTCATCTTGAATTGTAATTTGTCACAAAATTCAATAAAAATACACTATTCTAGGTGCGGAAACCAAAATACAAACCAGAAAAACCTGCTCCTGTTAGACCTCATCATGCAGCAATCAACAGGAAACGGCAAGAAGATAAGATAAAACAGGAAAATTATGTAAGTTGTGTGTTTATACAGAAATAATCAGTTATTTCTTTTCTTACCCTTATTTCTTTTCTTTATCACAATGTTCCTATCATAGTACTAACTTCAATCGCACTCATTAGATTGCAAATAGACATTGGACTACCAATCGATGACAAATTTCTTACAGCAACATGGCACTGATTGATCAGTATTTGCTAATTTAATTCTTTCTTTAGCTTTCGGTAGTTTAATGATAATGTGTAATATAATAACTTTACAGAGGCTGCTCAACAGACTGCTAACTGCAAAAAGCACAATGAACACAAGACCACCATCGACATCCAAGCCTAAAGCGAAATCCACTGTTAGAAAAGCTCCAGCAAGTGTTGTCAGCTTGCCACAAGAGGAAAAAGTTGTAGACCCAAGCAAATGGGAAAGGGGATAAAAAGGATAATTTGATAAAAGTGAAATTACAATCAGCCTCGCAGGCGACCCTGATAAATGGAAATCAAATATCTACATCACATGTAAATCAAAGAATAATTTATTTATATTATATATTATATGTAAACTTTTTAGGAATGCTTTCAGATTTTTGCATGATACAGATAATTGATTATCAGAGCACAATTTGACGGGTACAATCTTTCAGATGACTGTTTGTTCAAACTGATCTTTCTTTTTTTTTGACAAAAATAGGCCAACTGTGACCAGTTCTGAATTTTATAATTATCAGATATTCACGGTCTGTATTCAGATTTTGATAATTAAGTACACTAATTATATAATGTAAGTTATGTAAATGAAGATGTATAAAATAATATACTAAATATGATAATATTATATTATATTTTACAAAAGTTATAATATTGCTGGACTTGATATATACTACTGCACATTCTAATAATCTTACGATCACATATTTATTATATCTAAATCTTAATATTTTGCTACATGTAGTTCTAGATACTGGTGTGGAGGTTTTTTCAGTAACATGACTGCAGGTAATCAATCCGCTTATAGCTTTGGCCAATCAAAACTCAAACCTGTCACGTGTGTGTCAAAATAAATAATCCCTCCACCAATTATCTAGGCCCTATATAGCAAGATCTATTGGCTGTTAATATGTTATGTGTATTATAATCGTAAAGGGAGGGTTGGAGGTCAGGTTACAAAGTTCAGACTGCATGTTTTATGTGACATTCTATGATTGATACATCCCAAACACAAAAATTGTCGCAAAAGTTCGAGGTCCTCTTTGAACATTCTTTTTCCAGCTAGTGCCCAACTTCTGTATAAATGATCATTTTAAAACCTATATATACAGAATACGGATATACAAATTTGTGAAGAAATTGCGACATGTTATGTCTACTAGCCTAGTTATAATAACCGTGTTTTTGTGGAAGAGGAGCTTGAAATTTATCAGTAAGTTTTTCGTGTGCAGGTTGTAGACAGATTGACAACATATCATGCTATCGGAGACGGTAGTGATTACCATAATTTGTTTTTGATTGGCATGTGTATTCCTTACATACTAATGATTCACTGTATTGTATATATTTTTGGATAAAAACTTGTCTTACTCTTCTTTAGTTGTCAATTATCAATTTCATGTTGTGTACAAAACAAGTCACAACTTGGAGTCAATGCCATATAATACAATTCAATTTTGGAATTCAGATAAACAATTCATGACTAAAGTTAGCTTTTTCAACAAAGGGTAAATACTACATGAGTTATGGTAATAAGGAAGTTTTGAAGGTAATACTACTTGGAAATGGGGGTGTTGGAAAATCCTCGTTGATGCGAAGATATGTCAACAATATATTCGAGGAAAAGACTTTACATACCATTGGGGTAGAATTCCTGAACAAGACTGTTGATTTTAACAATAAGACCTTCACATTGCAGGTACGATATATTGTGATATTTCGATTAGTTTACAATTTAATTTGCAATTAATAGTTCACGATGTCTTCATTCTCCCGAATGCTGTGCCTCATTAATTTACTTTTCACCGTTTTAAGGGGGCCGGGGGGTGGGGTCTTCATCAAAATTCTCTCGAAATCGACTTTATAGTTGTTTCTGATAGAAGGGAGTGATATCTATCAGCTGCTTTTGGTCCCATGGAAAAATATTGTTCCTAGCCGAAACTATCGCCGGTCTAAGGTCAGCGCTTATGTGTAATTGTATTGCGCGAGCGATTTTCAATCGCAAATTCTGAAAATCGAGTCTAAAAATCTATCTCCTCCCACATTTTTTGAGCAATCACCCTGAAACTTTCAGGATATGTTCCAGGGACCATTTAGAAGAGATTGATCATACGAAATTTTGAGATAGGCCTTTAAACATTTTTTATTCAATTTAGAAAATCTTGGACCTCGTTTTTTTACGATTTTTGGAGGTCCAAGATTTTCAAAATTGAATAAAAAATTTTTGAAGGCCTATCTCAACATTTTGTATGATCAATCTCTTCTAAATGGTCCCAAGAACATATCCTGAAAGTTTCAGGGTGATTGCTCAAAAAATGTGGGAGAAGATAGATTTTTAGACTCGATTTTCAGAATTTGCGATTGAAAATCGCTCGCGCAATACAATTACACATAAGCGCTGACCTTAGACCGGCGATAATTTCGGCTAGGAACAATATTTTTCCATGGGACCAAAAGCAGCTGATAGATATCACTCCCCTCTATCAGAAACAACTATAAAGTCAATTTCGAGAGAATTTTGATGAAGACCCCCCCCCCCCGGCCCCCTTAAATGGGCACTTTTCAATAATAACCTTATATCTCATTGAAACATCTTCCTTTAAAACCTCATCGAAATTAAACCTCATTATTTGTTTTTAAGCTAATAAATGGCTTACTACTAACTTCTTTCCATCAGATATGGGACACTGGAGGCCAGGAGAGATTCAAAAGTTTACGAACACCGTTCTACAGAGGATCTGACATCTGTATTTTGGTATGATTATAAAGAATTCAGTAATTTCTTGCTAGAATATGAATAAAATTTCCTGCATACCAATGTTAAATCATTCTTAGAAAATTATATGATTTTACTGTACTTGGTATTTAATTAAATAACTTATGTGAAAACCAACTCTGCACTTTCCTGCAGGTTTTCGATTTGAGTGACAGAGAAAGTTTTGTAGAAATCGATTACTGGTTGGAAGAGTTCAGAAAATATGCAGAACTGGACAGTGAAGACAACAGTTTCCCGTTTTTGTTGCTCGGCAACAAAGCAGATCTCCCATCGCGAGGGATGGAAAATAATGAAATCTACACCTGGTGCAAAAATAACGGAGACATGTCATTTATTGAGGCATCTGCTAAATTGGACCTTAATGTTGAGACGGGTTTTATGATGATGGTAGAGAAAGCTATTGAATATGAGCACCATCAACGTCGAAATAATACTGGACAGTTTAAGGATACAATAAAACTGGAAAAAGGCACTAAGGTGGAGAAGAAAAAATGTTGTGCGAAATAGCTTTTTGTGGCCTTGACAATAATTATTAGTATTTTTGACATTTTTGCCTGTTTGAAATTATGATATTCATTACATTATTATACCAAAAACTGTTGATTTGGTTTGGAAATAAGCTATATTTCAATTTGAGAAATCATTTTCGTTTTTAGGGTGGGTACTTGATAGGTCTAGACTAAACCAATTTCTACATTATCTAAATAGTAAATCAGAGATTTTTAAAAAGGTTGTTGTTAGCAAGTTGTATTTATAATAGCTGTATTTTTCTATATTTTAATTGTCCTGATTTTTCGATTGTTATTAAAAATTGGTTTGTCATTTATGAATTGTTGTTTCACTTATTCTCTACTGTTTTGCTCAATTAAACCTGACTAACTATTTGAAAGTCACTCGAATCAGAACAGGAGGCTTAATTATGCACATAATAGCAGTGCAATGGCTATTATACTGGGGGGGGGGGGGGTGTCACGTCCGTCTATGTCCGCTTGTCTCATAGAATCCAAAAAGGACAGGACATAGGCGGACATAGGCGGACATAGGCGGACATAGGCGGACATAGACGGACATAGGCGGACATAGGCGGACATAGACGGACATAGGCGGACATTAATGGACACCTAAATTGCTAAAAAAGGTTCAATTTTTGCTGTTATAAGGGGGATCATGTTTTTTTGTCCGTTCGGTACCCTATATTTTCAAAATGGACAAAAAATAGAGCGGACAAAAACGGACAAAAATGGACAAAAACGGACAAAAATGGAAATAACATTTAGATGCTTCCTCCTCCTACTCTTCCTCCTCCTCCCCCTGGGTCTTCCTGATCTTCCTCAGTCCTCTTCCTCCTCCCCTCCTCAGTCCTCCTCCTACTCCTTCTCCTCGTCCTCAGTCCTCCTCATCAGTCCTCAACAGTCCTCCTCCTCCCCAGTCCTCCTCCTCCTGAGTCCTCCTCCTGGGTCCTCCTCCTGGGTCCTCCTCCTCCTCTTCATCCTCCTCCTCTTCCTCCTCAGTCCTCAGTCCTCCTCCTCATCCTTCTCCTCAGTCCTCCATCCTCCCCCAGTCCCCCTCCTCCTCCTCCTATTCAGTCCTCCTCCTCCTCCTCCTTCTCAGTCCTCCTCAGTCCTCCTCCTCCTCCTCCTCCTCTTTCCTCTCAGTCATCCTCCTCAGTCCTCCTCAGTCCTCCTCCTCAGTCCTCCTCCTCCTGGGTCCTCCTCCTCCTCTTCATCCTCCTCCTCTTCCTCCTCGGTCCTCAGTCCTCCTCCTCCTGGGTCCTCCTCCCCAGTCCTCTCCCAGTCCCCCTCCTTCTCCTCCTCCTATTCAGTCCTCCTTCTCCTCCTCCTATTCAGTCCTCCTCCTCCTCCTCCTCAGTTCTCCTTAGTCCTCCTTCTCATTTCTCCTAAGTCCTCCTGAGTCCTCCTCCTGGGTCCTCCTCCTGGGTCCTCCTCCTCCTGGGTCCTCCTCCTCCTGGGTCCTCCTTCTCCTCCTCAGTCCTTCTCCTCCTCCTCCTCAGTCCTCTTCCTCCTCCTCCTCCTCCTCCTCCCTCTCAGTCATCCTCCTCAGCCATCCTCCTCAGTCCTCCTCCTTCTCAGTCCTCCTCCTGAGTCCTCCTCCTCCTGAGTCATCCTCCTCAGTTCTCCTCCTCCTCCTCCTAGGTCTTCCTTCTGGGTCCTCCTCCTCCTCCTCCTCCTGGGTCTTCCTGATCCTTCTCCTCTCTCTCAGTCATCCTCCTCAGTCCTCTTCCTCCTCCTCCTCCTCCTCCTCCTCCCTCTCAGTCATCCTCCTCAGCCATCCTCCTCAGTCCTCCTCCTGAGTCCTCCTCCTCCTGAGTCATCCTCCTCAGTTCTCCTCCTCCTCCTCCTAGGTCCTCCTTCTGGGTCCTCCTCCTCCTCCTCCTCCTGGGTCTTCCTGATCCTTCTCCTCCCTCTCAGTCATCCTCCTCAGTCCTCACTCCTCAGTCATCCTCCTCAGTCATCCTCCTCAGCCATCCTCCTCGGCCATCCTTCTCAGCCATCCTCCTCAGTACTCTTCAGTCCTCAAAATGTTTGTCCGCTAATGTCCACCAATGTCCGCTAATGTCCACCAATGTCCATCCAAGTCCGCCAATGTCCGTCCGGGTCCGCAAATGTCCGTCCGAGTCCGCCAATGTCCGTCCGAGTCCGCCAATGTCCGTTCGAGTCCGCCAATGTCCGTCCGTGTCCGTCCGTGTCCCAAAAAACACGTCCGTTGTCTCATAGAATCCAAAAAGGACAGGACATAGGCGGACATAGACGGACATGACACCCCCCCCCCCCCTATACTATATAATGGGAAATTTACAGCAGAAATAATGGAAAGCCTACAATTTAACTTACTGCAATTTGCCCAACTTTTAGTTGTCTACCTTGATAATATTACTAGTAACCGATTAAGGCTTTATATTATTTAGGTTTATAAAATCTTATCATCATGAAACTTTCAGTTTTAATTATGGTTTTTGAACGCATTATATGGAGACTAGTCAGTGGATACTAATGAACGAACCTGGGATTGCAGAAATAACTCCTACCCCAGGATTCTGCTTTGAAGAACGATTCCTGGCTCTTTTCTCGTTCCAGAAAGACGGCTGGCTGTGTGATATAAAGATTGTTTGTGATGATGGCAGTGTGGAAGCTCACAGGGTTATCCTGGCTGCCACCTCCTCTTACTTTAAGCACATGTTCAGTAGTGCTATGAAGGAAAGTAGCAGTGATCAGATCAGAATGCAGGGAATGGACGTTGAAAGTCTGTCCTGTATTGTGAAATTCCTTTACACAAACGAGCTTGATGTGACAAAGGAAAATGCATCAGATGTTTTGAAGGCTGCCAATTTACTTTGTTTACCACCCGTTGAAGAGCAATGTTGCAAGGTATTGCTAGGTCCAATATCCAAGGAGACTGCCCTGGACTATGCTGTACTTGCTGAGCAATACGGGATGAACAGTCTTCTGAAAACTAGTATTGAATACCTGGTCAAATACTTCAAATACTTCCTCTTCAATGGATTATACAAGTTAGACATTAGAGCATTCCAGATTGTAGTGGCTAGTGATGATTTAGATGTTAAAGATGAGATTATGGTGTTTGATACAGTAGTTCAATGGATTGAGCATGATCTTCCCAACAGACAGAAGCACTTTAAATCTCTCCTCGAGCATGTCAGACTGCCTCTTCTGCCTCCAAAGTATCTTGTAGATATTGTAGAGAAATCCCGTTATGTAAAGACTGACTTTGAGTGCAGAGATCTGGTTGATGAAGCTAAGAACAGGCACCTCCTACCAAAGCGAACTCAAGGGTACCTTTCAGAACGGATGACTCCCAGGAAGAGCACGGTTGGTTATATCTTCCTAGTGGGGGGTCTTACCATCAAAGAGCGACTTCTTTGTAGCGTGGAGAGATACGACTTGCCCCTGCAACAAAGCTTCAAAATGCCAGACATGAGTTTAGCTAGAAGTGGGTTAGGATGCGCTATATTGGAGAAGGTACTTTATGTCATCGGTGGTCATGATGGGACTAAAGCACTCAAAATAGGAGAATGTATGGACTTTGGTAAAGGCTCCTGGACTTGGGTACCACAGATGCACGTACCACGGCGTAACTTGGGTGTTTGTGCTGATAGCTCACGTATTTATGCAGTTGGTGGCCAGGTTGACTCTAATACCACACTTGATAGTTTGGAGTCGTATGACCCTCGGGAGGGCTTGTGGAAGAAGCACGCTGCTACCATGACCCGAGCCAGGAAATACGCAAGTGTTGCTCACTTGAATAATGGTCTTTTTGTTGTTGGTGGCAATGATGGAACTCATTATTTGAAGTGCTGTGAGAGATATGATTTACGTGCCGACAAATGGGAGGAAATGGCTTCATTGCCCCATGCTTTCGGTGCTAATGGACTTGCAGTATGGGACAACTGTTTGTACACAGTTGGAGGATTTGACAGTCGTCAGTGTTTAGATGTATTGTATCTGTACTGGCCACCCTCCAACACATGGACCCAGCTACCTGACCCCATGGCACACCGGAGGACTGGTCTGGGATCAGTAACAGCTGGACACAATCTATATGCACTGGGAGGGCATAATGGCGAGACTTATCTGGATACAGTTGAGATGTATGATAGTGATTCTAGAGGGTGGGCGAAACTTCCACCTTTGCACTATAAAAGAGGTGCTATGGCTGTGAGTGTGTTGGAGAACTGTTATATGACAGCCACTGATCCATTATAGCATTTGTTTCACGGGAAGTTTCCATAATTAATGTTTAGTATTGATCGATACATTTTGTTAGTTTATTTGTTATTATAACATTAATATTTAAATTATAGTATCTATAATAAGTATCTTTATTTGTGTTTTTGGGGTTATGAAATGTTTTTTCCTGTCAAAATTTATTTAAGTGTGACATTTTTATTTTGAAAAGCAAATTTAAGATCTATTAAAAGGATTTCCTTTTTAAAATCAATAAGACTGTCAAACAAATATACTGTAGAACAATTAATAGACTGCAGAACAAATAGAGCGCAAGGTCGAAGACTATAGCTTAGGTTTTATAAATTTAATTTAATTATGAATTTACGAATAACTTTGTTTTACTGATTGAATTGAAATTTGTTCGGTTGCCTTTTCTTTTTTATCCATATTTTCTAGGATACCATGTACATACAGCGAAAAGTTGCTTTACTTAATTATATTTATTCAGCCAGAACCAGGGCAAAAAAATTATATACTCAGTAGTCATTTGTACATTCGTTTTGTAAAGAAGATAAATCTCAAAAATATATTCATTTTATTTTTACTGACGATTGTGAAATGACAACTTTGATTTTCAGAGAAATGGAGCAACAAAATGTACGCGAGTTTAAAGATGAGATGAAGATAGAAGAAGAAAGTATTACACCTGAATTGATAAAGTCAGAGATCAAGAAGGAGGAAGATGATTTTAGTATCAAATCAGAAGTGTATTCGAATCCTACTTCTCAGATGCAGTATTTTATCGAAGAATCTGATTCAAACCTTCTCCAAACTGTCGCCCAAACAGAATGGATGAAAGTAACCACTACCAACAAGATATTAAAATACTCTGAAACAACTTACAATGACTGCACAAAATCCACATTACCTCAGAATCAGCAATCTAATAGTAATACCAGTAAAAAAACATACAAATGCTCTGAATGTTCCTACAATGCAAGCTATAAATCAAACCTACTTCGCCATCAGATGACTCATACCGGTAAGAAACCCTACAAATGCTCTAAATGTTCTTACAGAGCAAGCGTAAAACAAAACTTAATTACACATCAGATGACTCATACCGGTAAAAAACCCTACAAATGCTCTGAATGTTCCTACAGTGCAAGGCTAAAACAAAACTTAGAACGCCATCAGCGAACTCATAGTGGTGAAAAGCCTTACAAATGCTCTGAATGTTCCTACAGTGCAAGCCAAAACTCACACTTGGTAAGCCATCAGTTGACTCATTCCGGTGAAAAGCCTTACAAATGCTCTAAATGTTCTTACAGAGCAAGCGTAAAACAAAACTTAATTACACATCAGATGACTCATACCGGTAAAAAACCCTACAAATGCTCTGAATGTTCCTACAGTGCAAGGCTAAAACAAAACTTAGAACGCCATCAGCGAACTCATAGTGGTGAAAAGCCTTACAAATGCTCTGAATGTTCCTACAGTGCAAGCCAAAACTCACACTTGGTAAGCCATCAGTTGACTCATTCCGGTGAAAAGCCTTACAAATGCTCTGAATGTTCCTACAGTGCAAGGCTAAAACAAAAGTTAGTACGCCATCATCTGACTCATTCCGGTGAAAAGCCTTACAAATGCTCTGAATGTTCCTACAGTGCAAGGCTAAAACAAAACTTAGCAAGCCATCAGTTGACTCATTCCGGTGAGAAGCCTTACAAATGCACTGAATGTTCCTACAGTGCAAGGCTAAAACAAAACTTAGAACGCCATCAGCGAACTCATAGTGGTGAAAAGCCTTACAAATGCTCTGAATGTTCCTACAGTGCAAGCCAAAACTCACACTTGGTAAGCCATCAGTTGACTCATTCCGGTGAAAAGCCTTACAAATGCTCTGAATGTTCCTACAGTGCAAGGCTAAAACAAAAGTTAGTACGCCATCATCTGACTCATTCCGGTGAAAAGCCTTACAAATGCTCTGAATGTTCCTACAGTGCAAGGCTAAAACAAAACTTAGTAAGCCATCAGTTGACTCATTCCGGTGAGAAGCCTTACAAATGCACTGAATGTTCCTACAGTGCAAGGCTAAAACAAAACTTAGAACGCCATCGGCAAACTCATACTGGTGAAAAGCCTTACAAATGCTCTGAATGTTCCTACAGTGCAAGCCAAAACTCACACTTGGTAAGCCATCAGTTGACTCATTCCGGCGAAAAGCCTTGCAAATGCTCTGAATGTTCTTACAGTACTAGCCGGAAATCACAATTAATTTCCCATCAGAAGTTACATTCCAGTAAAAGGCTAAATCAATCTTCAGAATGTTCATATAATGCTAGTGATGAGTCAACTGTAGTTCCCCAACAGCTGAACGATATCGAAGAAAACTAAACTACTTTTCATGAAAGCAGTCAGGCTTCGAATTCCTTACAAAACGGTAGCGTTGGAGGACCCATTTTCGTTAAACCTGCGCCTCTACCTTTTGTGAAACCTGTATCATTTGTTAAACCTATGACCTCAACTGACTCTATTATATCAAATTCCCGCTTACCTCCCAGTTCCTCCTCCAGTTACCAACCAAAATCTCACATGTTATACCTTGCAGTTCCTCTCACCCTCTCACCCTCTCACCTGATGAGTCTGTCTTCACACCCCTTTTCATTGTTTCATCTAACCAACCTACAACATATCCTCCCCCTCTCATATCTCCAGTCAGTATAGTGGTTATGAAACGTAAATAACTGGAGTATTATATTTCCAAATGCATGTAATGATGTAATATCTGATACCGAAACTGAACCAAGTTTTTAACTGTAATCAAATTATCGAAACAAAATGCTGACGAATAAGTTTTGTAGTAGTTAAAACTAAATTATTGTAATCAGGGTATTTTGTAAAGATATTTGTATGTTGCTATTAAAATGCATTTTATATCTTATAAAGGGACTGGATGATGTTTCTAACTCAAATCAAATTATCAGAGCATAATAATAATAATAATTTGTCCGTGTATATCAAAAATGGGATAAATTTACATTAAATTTAAATACATATAATATATATTAATACATATAATAATATTATAATTATATGTAAATTTATAATGATGATTTATAATAATTTATACTACCAATGGGTACCGATTTATAAGTTTATAATGATTTATAATGATGTTTAATTAAAATAGTAAAGTAAAATGGTAACTCTTGGCACTTGAACAGTACGTTAAGTTAAGATTTGATATTATTTTAAATTGGTTCTTTGGTTGCCTATTCCTCTTGATCCATATTTTCTAGGATATATTATCATCAACATAGTATATTAAAGCAAATGCCGGCTTTATTTAATTAGACTGTACTTCATCGCCAGAACCAGAGCAAAAAACCTCCAATCTCTACTATAATTCAAAGAATTGTTTTTGTTGTCTGTCTGTCTGTACGACCGCCCACGTGCAAATTAGATGAAAAATAGGAAGTTACATAGTAACCATGGTAACGGTGTTCAAAAGCTCACGTGCATGTGCAAAGATTTGCGACCGGCATTTTGATCGGTTTTGTCGAATTATGTTGTGTTCAGTGCGAGCTACATTTTAATCGGCTTTATCTTCGGTTGGGATGAATATTTTTTGATGCGATAAAAACTGTCTACCAAAGAATACTATTAGTTTCCTCCCTGTGACCACGGGCGTTCTAGTTATATATAATATTCAGATGTATATTCGTTTTGAAGAGAAGATAATATCTCACAATTATATTCATTTTATTCCTACTGACGATTGTGAAATGCCAACTTCAATTTTCAGTGAAATGGAGCAACAATATAAACTCGAGTTTAAAGATGAGATGAAGATAGAAGAAGAAAGTATTACACCTGAATTGATAAAGTCAGAGATCAAGAAGGAGGAAGATGATTTTAATATCAAATCAGAAGTGTATTCGAATCCTACTTCTCAGATGCAGTATTTTATCGAAGAATCTGATTCAAACCTTCTCCAAACTTGTGTCGCCGAAACAGAATTGAAGAAAGTAACCACAACCAGCAAGAAAACTTCGGAATTATCTCTCGATCAGCAATCTAATGATAATTATACCTGTGAAAAACCGTACAAATGCACTGAATGTTCTTACAGTACAAGCTATAAATCACACTTAGTTCGCCATCAGCTGACTCATACCGGTACAAAATCCTACAAATGCTCTGAATGTTCATACAGTGCAATCCTAAAACAAAACTTAGTTCGCCATCAGCGAATTCATACTGATGAAAAGCCCTACAAATGCTCTGAATGTTCTTACAGTACAAGCTATCAATCAAACATAGTTAACCATCAAATGACTCATACCGGTGAAAAGCCCTACAAATGTTCTGAATGTTCTTTCAGTACAAGCTATAAATCACACTTAGTTCGCCATCAGATGACTCATACCGGTACAAAACCCTACAAATGCTCTGAATGTTCCTACAGTACAATCATAAAACAAAACTTAATTCGCCATCAGCAAACTCATACTGGTGAAAAACCGTACAAATGTTCTGAATGTTCTTACAATACAAACAGAAAATCAGACCTAGTTAATCATCAAATGACTCACACCGGTACAAAACCCTACAAATGCTCTGAATGTTCTTACAGTACAAGCTATAAATCACACTTAGTTCGCCATCAGATGACTCATACCGGTAAAAAACCCTACAAATGCTCTGAATGTTCCTACAGTGCAATCCTAAAGCAAAACTTAGTTCGCCATCAGCGAACTCATACTAGTGAAAAGCTCTACAAGTGCTCTGAATGTTCTTACAGTACAAGCTATAAATCAAACATAGTTAACCATAAGATTTCTCACACCGATACAAAATCCTACAAATGCTCTGAATGTTCTTTCAGTGCAAGCTATAAATCACACTTAGTTCGCCATCAGATGACTCATACCGGTAAAAAACCCTACAAATGCTCTGAATGTTCCTACAGTGCAATCCTAAAGCAAAACTTAGTTCGCCATCAGCGAACTCATACTGGTGAAAAGCCCTACAAAGCTACAAGTGCTCTGAATGTTCCTACAGTACTGGCCGGAAATCACAATTAATTTCCCATCAGAAGTTACATTCCAGTAAAAGGCCAAACCAATCTTTATAATGTTCATATAAAGCTAGTGATGAGTCAACTGTAGTTCCCCATCAGCGGAACGATTTTGAAGAGAACTCAACCACTTTTCATGAAAGCAGTCAGGCTTCGAATTCCTTTCAAAACGTTAGCATTGGAGGACCCATTTTCGTTAAGCCTGCGCCTCTACCTTTTGTGAAACCTGTATCATTTGTAAAGCCTCTGACCTTAGCTGACTCCATTATATCCAATTCCCGCTTACCTCCCAGTTCCTCTTCCAGTTACCACCCAAAATCTAACACGTCTCACCTTGCAGCTTCCTCTCACCTTGTTATCTGGTGAGTCTGTCTTCACACCTTCACACCCCTTTTCATTGTTTCATCTAACCAACCTACAACATATCCTCACCCTCTCATGTCTCCAGTCAGTATAGTGGTTATGGAGCGTAAATAACATTAAAAGTACATTTTATATTGTCATTAAAATGTATGTGATACCTCACCCTGAGACTTGATGAAGTTTCTCGATGAAATAAGAATTATTTCAATGAAACAAGGAAATATGTGCGGGCCCGAAAGTTTTTGAACACGCCGAGACGCTAGTCCAGGCTCATATTTGGACCAGATAACAATTGTTGGCGGAGATGAGGGGTTTAATACTACTTTTACTTGTCATTTAAAGGTTCGTTGTTTTATAAAGGGAAAGTAGAAGTGGTGATATTATTATACTATTTTTAAGTTAATTTAATTATTTTAAAAACAATTTTTTACTCATAAAAAATGGGATAAATTGACATAATGTTATACATAATAATAATAGTATTATATGACAGTCATGACGTGTGGTAGTTCATATTTGAACTTTAATATTTCCATGATTTAAATATTACTCCTTTAACGTGTCATGACTCATGATATTTAATTGTCTCTTTTACTAATTTTTCAGTCATTTTTGTCTATTGTTTTACTGTTATAATTGCTATTTATTCACAAGAGGGAGAAAAGATACGTACTATTTATATAAACTTTAAAGTTTATAAAATTTGAAAAATTTGTACATAATATCTAATCTTGTAATCTGTGTCCCATATCAAATATTAGCTTAAATCTAGAATTTGAAATAAGGGGTCGTTCACATATTAAGTAATAAATTTATGGACAATTTTTAACCCCCCCCCCCCCCCCCCCTCCCCTTCCGTAATCAGTTTTACACATAGCTATTATGTCAAAATTACACCAGCGTAATCATTTGCAAAAACCCCCTCCCCCTTGGCTGATTACGTAATATTATGTGTACGACCCCTAAGTACTTTTTAGTCGTAAATGATATTATGTTACTTTAATCTCGCAGTTAGCTTAGAAAAGAAGATCTTCCTTGTAAAGATAAATATAAATCACGTGACAGCAGAAGTGGAGGACACGTGACCTGATGTTGGTTTTGGCGGGAAAGTCCTCTACTGTTAAACTGTTAAACAGCAGGAACAAAAGCTTGACTGAAATTCCGGTGGAGGAGCTGTCAGGTTAATGCTAATTATGATAATTTAATTTTGTTTTTAGTTCACGCCACACACTAATTGCATTAGTTTGTAATTTTGTTGTCTCTTATCAGCTTGCTTATCTCGCCTAGTTTAACGGCGAGACGAGATTGCACTAGCTTTTCTTGTTTTCGCTCCATATGAGCACACAAAACTTCATATTTTTCGCAATTTTTTGGAGTGAGTTCATACAAAATATGAACCATACAATAGTGTGCAGTGCCCTGAACAGAGGGATTATTATTCACTGTTTTTTATATGTTTTAATTGGTCATTAGAACCGCCTGGCACCGTCCAGCTTTCAATCAATCAGTTGTAAATCAATAAGCTACAATTTTAGATGTGGCAAAGTCTGCTGAGTCCATTAGACTTATATCTTTATATAATTATTCAGTGGCTTAATGTATATTATGATGCCAAACTACGTCTACATTATTATCTCACAACACAACTTTCAATTGTTCACTTGACTAGAGCTGTTGACACTATGCCTCTTAAATCCTTTGATTTCAGCGAGTGGAGTCAGCGGAGTGGCATGGTCACCAACAGGCAAACTTATCGCCATGTGTGGTAAAAAGTGGGAACACATAATACTACTGAACTGTGAGGATCCTTATAATCAGGTACAAACCTTGTGTTACAAGAGTGTTACACTGACATATTGTTACAAGCGTGTTACACTGCCATGTTACAAGCTTGTTACACTGACATGTTACAAGAGTGTTACACTGACATGTTACAAGCGTGTTACACTGACAAGAGTAACACGTGTACAAAAAGTTTTATTGATTATTAGCCTTATTTATTTTACACATTGGTAAGTTGGTAATTACAGCTAACAAGATTATTATAATTATAGTTGTTTTCACCTCCAGATTGAGATAAAGATCAGCATACCAGCGGGCAGATACCAGAACTGCTGCGTATTCAACAAAACAGGAAAAGTGCTAGCTACAGCCGGGGTCGGGGGAGGTGTTTATCTCTGGAATGAGAACAATGTAACCAGGAATTGGGAGCAAGTAGCTGAGTTACCTAATATTATCACCATGACAACTGTTACATCTATCTCGTGGGATCCATCCTCTCGGCATCTATGCACTGGTGAATAAAATCAGATAAGAGTTATGAAAACAAGAATGCTATGAAATATCTATTTTATCTGATAATATAAACTGTACAAAATCTAGACTATTAAACTTAACGAGCAAAATTATTTACTAGTTGAATGTTTTGTGTGTACATAATAAATTATAATATGAATTATCTTAAGTCGAAGTTGCCATTAAGCCAGATATTTTCGTGGGCATTCATTTAAACTGCTTTCTATAATGAATCATCATCACCGCGAAAATTAAAGGTTTCAGAACTAAGTTAATAATTTTGACTCTGATTATTCGCACATGACTCTAATTTTGCACGTGTCAGGTGACACGCGCGGTCACGTGACCTTGCGAGAGCACCTGACAGGTCACGAGTACAGAGACGGAGTTGACTTGTACAACACTAATTCTGAAGAGGTTTCAGCCCTTACTTGTAACCCTCACCACCCCTTCCAGCCTCCTGAACTAGCTGTAGGTATGTGTTCAATCCATTTATTGCTTTATTGGACTAGGGATAAGTGCAATACAATATAACAAAATATTTATTGGATATCATAACTCTCTCAAGTCTCATAACTCTATTTAATATATATTTATTATGATACTTGGGTGTTATATTATTATGCTTGATAGAGTGATGGTCTCGTGTGCTTTTCTGGGTGGGTGGGTGGGTGGGTGGGTGTGTATCCCTTTGTTTTCCAAGTTAATACAATACAACGCGTTGTTGGAATAACTCTTCTTAGATTACTCTTTTTAGACTTATTTGCAAATTTAGTTACGCATTTGTAAATTACGACTCCTTTGTTTAGGACACAGCAATGGAGTGCTGGAAGTTTGGGATATCTTATCTCGGACGGTCAGATTCACTCTTCACAGCCATTCTACAACTATTACAGACATTGCTTACAGCACCATCAACGGTCTTCTTCTTGCCACTGCGGGTACATTTTCTACGTTAAGATTCATAATATTTTCTACTCATCTTTTGATTTCCGTTGTACAAACAGTTTTTTAAAGTGTAAAAACTGTTACAAACCTAGCAACAGTGACAACCGTAACTACTGTAACCATGGTAACAAGTGTGACCATGTTTCCAGGACTGGATGGAGAGGTGCACATAGTCCTACTAAAGTCAGGTACAGTCGTCAAGAAGTGTGTTGAGGGAAGAGCAATACATAGTCTGGAGTTTATCAAGGGTACCCAAAAACTCGTCTTCTCACCGACTCATCGGTAATTTAGTTTTAACTCGAGACTGCTTTATCTTATTTTTTTAAATTTTCTACTTTCACTGAACAAGGTTTAATTCTTTAACTTCACCACAGTGCCTTAGAGCTTAGCCTACCAATGTGTTTGTAACTGTTATGTAACTATTTTGTAACTGCTCCTCCTATCAGTTGGTAACATTCCGGCTCAACAAGAAGTGGAGTGAGCGGGAAAGTGAGCCACAACAGGGAGCAATGATAGCGCGCTACCATTCAGCACGTGGGCCACTATTCGAGTCACAAGAGGCGTATCTATTGCGAACACCCCAAGCTGCGACAGCTGCTGCAGCGGGCAGGGCGGAGATGGTTAAGAACACACCCGAGTATCATCCTAACAAACCTAGTCCTGAGAGTAAAGGTTATTATAATTATACTGGGTACTGGCTACATAAAGGGCATAAAATTATCAAACAGGGTCCTGTAAGGTAACCTTGTATTATATAATTGTATCGTATAATACAAAATAACAATTGATTTCAATTATATCTAAACTCATTGAAACAATATGATCGTTTATCGTACTCTTTTACATGTGAGTATTTTGGTTTTATTCATGATGATTTGGTTATCATATTATAGCTTGAGATCTATTATTTTCCAGGCTTGCAAAAGGACGAGACATCTTCGCTGATAACTTCCCAGAACTCAATTCGTACGTAATATTATATTATAACTACTACTACATCTATTTTAAGTTATCATGAATCTGGTGACGTGAATTGCACTGTACTCATTGTAAAAGTTTGTCCATGATTGCTCAATTTTGTACTGTACTATCAAAAGCAAAAGACCACATCTAAACTTGATATTGGTCTACTGTTAACATGAAACACCGCATATTCTTGCTACTGAGTAATAAACTCTTAAACTATAGACTATAGAAGTTATACTTCTCTTATCTCTTTCTAGAACACTTTATCTTTACAGCCCTTTCAAAGGAACTCAGCACCTCTATATCTAGAAATATAACAGGTACCTGGATATTATGATCATATTATTTGTTACAATCTGGCTTCTTATTGCCTCTCACTCTCATTGTTTAAAACATTTTGATTTGCTTAGACAACAAAGTTTTGGATATCATTTCATTAACATTTACACTCTTTCTATTTCCCTACCACAACCTTGTTTCGTCAGAGGAAGAGAGAAACATTACGAGCGCAGATAAAGACAGCTCATTCAACATCAGCGACATCGTTAACTACACAACAGATGAGAACTTGTCGCATACCCCACGTTAGAATAATTAATTAATTAATTAACACTGAGAAGTTACATACACCGAGTTTTGATAAATTAATTTGTGTTTTTCCCTACCTTGGCAAAGGCGAGAAGATCAGGGAATAAGTAATCGGGTTCGTATAATATATTAGGTGGACAATCGTTACATCGGTGTATCGACAGTAAACGTCCACTTCGCAATATTCGTCGTTGTAACAAAATAAAACACGTGTTATTTTATAACAAAATAAAACACGCTTTATTTTGTAACAAAATAACGCGTGTTTTACACTTGTGCATAGTTCGCGTTATTACTTTCCACTTAAATTAATATCTAAAGAATTCTTGTTTAATTAGGTAAATAACAATGGTTTAATTACCGACATTGTTAACTAAAATTAATATCTGTTAGTGTTAAATTAGGTGAATAACAATAATCTTATTACTGTTATTGTTAACTAAAATTAATAACTTTTCTTGACTATTCTCGTTCGTCACGAATAATTTAACCGCTTTTGTATTCCAACGGACAATAACGACACGAATTTATAGCTTTATGTAACAAGATTGTAGACTTGAAAAACGTGTGACATCGTCAAATTCTTTGTCAATTTGAACAGTGTTGTGGACGTTTTATCGGCTTAGTATTGTTTCGCACAGTTCTAGTAACCGGTACAGTTTTAAGCAATACAATGGAATTTATCACACGTATCTGTCACACCAAAAGGCACGCAGAGATCGTTTCGTTTACAAGTTGCCTTCATGGTTCCCACTATTTGACACACTCTGAATTTCAACGGCGGAGTGAGATTCCTCGTTTAAAAGGTGGAGCAAATATGACCCGATCTAAGCCTTTGTCTTGCAAGGATCGTGATTTGATGATGCTAGGTAGGTTCAGTTCCATCACGATCTACTGACTACGGAGCCAGGAGACCCTTTATACTTTCATAGTTCATACAATAGCTGCCATAAATTGATGAAGACCAGGGACAAAATGAAAGCGAAATCCTTTTGTCCCTGATGAAGACTGACCGGCGCCTTAATTTCTGCGAACCCTTTGTTTAAAACTAGAACTGGTTACCGTACCAACTGAGAAGTGTGCCAGAAGTTCTTTCATTCAAATGGAAACTTACGGCATATATAATGTCGTGTGATATTGTACTGTACATAACAGTAACACTTTCAAATAAATTCACAGTTCATACGGTAGATTTCTTAGTTCGTTCTTTGTCCCCGTTCATGAGTCACTTTACATGGCTTCAACTGAGTCTTTCGATTTTGAGGTCTCTATTCGACTATAAAACGATCAGTAAATGTTAAGATATATGATTGAGTTAAGTTATTCAATAAGTAACAATGTTCTGACTTCACTCGTTAGTTCACAGACAGTTGCCGAGTATCCAGAAGAGATCAGCAGAGGGGCTCCTGACACACAGCATCATCTCTCCTGACAGTAACACTGAGAACACACCCTCCAGAACTGATAATAACTCACCGTATAGTGAGAATCTGAGGAATAAACTGAGGAGGATTGCTGTGGAGGATGGGAAGGAGAACCGGCCTCCAAGCACCAAGGTATAGAACCATCACCGATCACGTTACTGTTATAGACACATCATTCAATTTGACGAGAACGTCATACTGTTTTTACTCAAGGTTTTTTAGATTAAAATATGATAACTTTTTCGTGCTTAGTCTGCTGAAATTAATAAACAAGTGTAAGTGTAATGGGCCGTTAATTAGGTCCTACTTTTTTAATTTGTTTGGGGAAAAGGAAACATTACCCCAGTAATATGTCAGGTACAGTAAAACCCCGATTTACCGCGGAGATTGGGGAGAGGAAACATCTGCGGTAAATCAGGGTCCGCGGTAAATCGGGGTTTTGTTTGGTTTACATTATGTATGTTTAGCCCTATTTGGGGAAAGGAAATGGCCGCGGTATATCTGGGTTTGTGGTAAATCGGGTCGCGGTATATCGAGGTTTTACTGTATTTTGTTTACTCTCAATTAATAAGATATACATGTCAGGTGACTCCACAAGATGGGGTTGGTAAGATGACTGGTAGGATAGTTTCCAGTACTCCAGCAGTTCCTAACACTAACAAACAAGCCTTCCTCACCCCTACTTCCTGCTTAGCACAATCATTGTGAGTGCAGCTTTCTTTTTGGCATTCAGAGACTTTATTGCTGGTATCATATTGTGATCGCATGATTTGCACCAGCTGAGATTTATAGGTTTATTTTGTACATTTATTTACAAATACATTTGTTTGTATCTACTATAGTTTTGTGTAAGATAACTCAGCTAAATTATAAGTTTTCCTCTTGAACTGCATTATACTAACTCATTACCAGTAATCATTAATCAAGGAATAAGAAAGAAGATTCAATATTACACAACCGTGCTCCACTCACCCAAGTGCAAAGGTTCAAGAAATCACTTCACTCCAGAACCACACTTCAACATGTCTCACCAGCCCATCATCTAATACCCCCAGCAGATTGTGATTCATATACGATCACGTACGTTATTCATTAACTTCCACTGTTTTTCATGAAGGGATCACGTGATCAACAGCGTCTGTAGAATTGTGGGTGTTGTGTATTCTTATAACATTATCAGTCACAAGTCTGATTATAAAAACAGTTAATTTCTTAATTAATTACCATACTAATCAGTTAATCACCCCAGGAAAGGAAGGTCCGGGTTCTCGGTCTCTTCTATGTTCTCCTCAATTGGAGATAACAGTCCCATGACAGACGTCTCCTCATCTGGGCCTGTATCTCAGGAGCAGCTGACTCCAAATATTATTGAACCTGTCCATACTCCTTCTCAAATACATCCCCTTAATACTAACATAGGTTAGTTATTAGTGAATTAATTAATTCACTTTACGGTGTTAATCGTGCTTGAAGATCCTTATTCTAACATCACTAACCACTTTTGAAACTCGTAAATTGAGACCATGCTTCATAATTCTTCTCCCTCAGCTTCTTCTCACTTTTTCCATTATAATTAGTTAATTGTTTAATTAATTACACTAATTATTTAATAACCCTAGGAGGAGGTGTCAGTAACGAGCAGATGGTAATTCTGCAGAACCAGATAACAGAACACTTCAAGGGGCTTGAGAAAACACTGCTTAGTGAGACTCGGTGGTTAAAGAATGAGATAGTTAGACAGGTATGGTTATTATGGTTACTATGGTTACTACAATTTACTTTCTTATCTCTACTTCTTATCTTCTCTCTTTTATATCTACTTTACTTTCTACAAAATTATTGCTAATTATGGCAACTGTTCTGGCTTGAGTAACTGTCTCGTTTTTAAGTTACACTTAATTTCAACAATTTCGTAATTTTTTTAAACTGTTATCTTGAAACCCACGTGCTACAGTCATAGATCGTCCTCTCTGTACATCGCTGCTTTTGCTCACTGTACAGTGTACTTCATGTGTCAGTATATGTATATACCTTCAACACGATATATCATACAATATAAAATGTACCCTATTGCTCTATTTTACCTTATTTGACACGCTCTACCTCGGTTTATTGTAGCTTCTAAGATTATACGATCACACTGATGTCTGTGTGTGAGTGTGATTTTCATTTGTAATTGTAATTATAAGTACACGGCACGTAGTGTTCTGTGTTCTGTGTGTACTGTAAAATAGTGTATGATCCTTGTCGGAACATACCTCTAACATACCTCTAACATACCTCTAACATACCATATATGGTATATATACCATATATGGTGTATATACCAGAACATACCTCTAACATACAAGGCTAGTTCTCATTCTTTCTCCTAATGTTTGTGCGTAATCCCAGGCAGTTGACACACAGTTCGCACTGGAAGATATTCTCAACAACGTCCAAGAAAGACAAAACACCATGAACCAGAGACTAGTTAACATGGACCAAAACATCAGTACTATAATGCGTAATATGTAGTTAATAGCAATATTGGTACACTTTTTAGTGCCTTATAAACTTATTGCTGTCTGTAAATTTAGGATGATTTGAGGTTGAGTTACCACTTGTCAAGAAGTCCAAATATATAACAAGGTTCCCGGAGATAAGCAAGATAAGAGAGAGCTTAATGAGGTACCCCCCCCCCCCCCCCCCCCCCCCCCCCCCCCCCCCCCCCCCCCCCCCCCCCCCCCCCCGTTTATGAAAAACACTACTGAACAGACACGTGCATCACGCATCTAGAGACGAGCCAAACCAAAGTTGGCTGTGAGTATTAGTACAATAGTACAATAACCACCAGAAATAGCTCTGAACTTATGCTATAATGAAGTGGGGCTGAGTATTTTGTTGTATTTGGTGTTCTATTTTGCCGTGGAGTGAGGAGTCTTGTATTTGTTGGCTTTTGTGGGGTTTAATGCATGAGTTGGTCATTGGTGGTTGTTTCCTTTCGAAATTTGAGATATGGGAGGCTAATTTATGCTAAGATTAAAAATCTGTTTTTTTTCTACTTTCTAAAAGTATCATTATATCAAAGTTTTGATAGAGACTAGATTATGACATTTTACATGATTGTATTTATTAGTTTTTAAATTATAACGTTTCACTATTTATTCTACGTTTTTATAGACTATTGGTGAAGTCAATTTATGACTATGTATTTGTACAATAGTTTTATTAAATTTACTTAAGCTTTGGTAAAAGCAACCATTCCCCATTAAATACTTTTGAAGAAATTACTGTATACTTTATTGATTAATTGTGATCCAATGAAATTGGTTGAAAAAATCTCTGATAAAATCCTTATCTTCAAAGTGATTTGTAATGTTTGACTATTTTTATGGACGCTGCTTGAACACCTTATTGAATTTATTCTCATAATTCTTATCATAAATAACTTCATATTATTCTTAGTAATCAGCTATGTAGTAGGGGAGGTTGGGTAACATTCACTGGATATTTTCAACTGTCATGACAACAGAGGTATGATTCTTCGCTTCTATTTTAAGACTTTTTCACTTCGTCTTTTATTACACAGCTCATGGAAAATAAAACAGAAATGCAATCTCGACTCACCAATTCAAGAGTGAAGAATGTGATAAATTAGTCGTATTACATTAATAATTGTACATATTAAAGCATACAGATAAAATGTAAACCTTTTTATCGAATTTAACGTAATTTATCTACAGGTCTGTTGTTACAACACTTCACCTCTAACCTCAATACGATAAACCTCTCCAACCTTCAAAACAACCCCTCTCATCAAAACACCAAGATCTCCTGAACAAACTACCACCTTACATGTCATGCTGCTCCAACTCCTCCTTCAAACACTCCTCCTGCTCCTCGCCCACTCTGGTGACGTCACTGAAGTCTGTCTCCACCACGACACCCAACTCCCACTCCTCCTAGTCTCCAGACTGGACGGTAAAATCAGCGCTGTCTCCCTGTCTCCTGACCTCCCTGTGTTATGGGAACTAGATCTGGGATACCCTCTTCTGTCAGCCAGTAGTGTGGTGCTAGGGGATCACACCTACCTCATACCCTCGCTAGATGGTAACCTTTATACCCTCTCACAAACACAGGTTATTGAACCGTACGCGCAGTTAGAGGCCCTGCTCAGTAAACCTTATGACAAGGGGTCCAGTTCGCGGTGGGTTGGCGGGAAGGTGGTGACGACGCGCGGCGTAGCACCTAAAGACGGGCGGGTTTTGTACGAGTGTAACTTTGATAATTGTCAGAGATATAACGACAGTACTGTTGGGCACGAGCCGTTGTTAGCAGTGACAGACGAGAGAAGAACAGTGCGGTTGTTGGACATGAAGTTGGGAGTAGAGAGGTGGAACTGGTCGATATCCAGCGTGGAGATGCAATATATAGGCCTCAAACACCGCTCATCCTGTCACCCTCCTCGGCTCCCTGCTAAACTCCACTTTGACGTGGAAATGGGGGTTATATCCGCGCTGTTTGATTCTGGACACTACGCTACTGTCGTCCTCCCAGGACCTCTTTCTCAAGCCTGGGTCCTGAACGACGAACACCTCCAGAGTGTAAACATGTTTTACAGTGACGACACAGACTCGACATCTGTTAACGTTTACCTGGGTCTCTGGCAGGGTAACCACTACATCCAGCCCTTCCATCCTGGCGAGACCATGTTCAGGATAGATCGTATAAACAAGGAGGTGTTTGAGTTGGGTTGGACGCGCGAGGGGCGCGCAGGACGAGACACTATCAGTTGGGAGCACCCAATAAAACATGATTCCACTGCACTAGCTGTGGTGAGCAATGACTTGACTAGCAGCGACTGGGTGGGGAAGATATGGAAACCTAGACCCGATTACAATGCACCGCCGCCCCGTAGGGAGAGTGAGACGGACAGTTTTACAGTGTCAGATGTGTGGGTCAGTATGTTGTCCACTTTCTTGATTGGGATTATCATAGCGTATGGTGTTTACAGGAAAGTATTCAAAAGGAAGCCACAGTTGACAACTACCAGCACTGAAACTGAAGCTGAGGACCATGTATCACCTCCGTCTAGCCCCTTTGTTTCCAACGGATTCAACTTCGATAATATACCTCCCCCGCCCTTTGAGTCGAGATTTGAGCAGGACTTCACCGTGATCCGAGACTTGGGTCAGGGTGGTTTCGGGAAGGTAATCGAGGCAAAGCACAAGATAAGCGAGCACAATTACGCTATCAAGATTATAAAACTCCCAAACAAAGAGGAGCTGAGGAGGAAAGTGGAGAGAGAGGTAGCTGCAATGGCGAAGTTAGAGCACCCTAATATCTTGAGATATTACACAAGCTGGAAGGAGACACAAACTTTAGAATGGGCCCGGTCCAGGAAGTACACTCACACGTCCAACTCAGAGAGCAATGATTCTGGAACTTCAATCGGCACTTCCGGTCACTCTTTCTCGTGGTCCAAAACATCCACCTCCCACAAACGCAACCTCTCGTGTAACATCCAGATTGATGAAGAAAGTACATCAATCGGAATACGACGCCAAAGTGCTGATGACACCTACAGCGATATAGTTTTTGCGCAGGACTCTAAGAATTATTCTGTCACAAACGGTGACTCCTCCATAGTATTTGCTGACGTCTCCAAGACTAGACCAGATCTCCACTTGTCCGTAGGGGAACATTCAGTACCGGACAGTGCTACGGGAGACGAGACCTTCTCAACGTGGAACAGCGAGTCTGAGAACCCTGCAAATTCAGCCACTCACGAGTCATTCCTCTACATACAAATGCAGCTGTGTTCAGATCAGACCCTCAAGGAATGGCTGGCGGTAAACAAGAAGAGAGGGGAGATTATGAAGATATTCTCGGAGATAGTGGACGCTGTGGAGTACATCCACTCTCATAACCATATTCACAGAGATCTCAAACCAAGTAACATTCTCTTCAGCGAGGATGGCAGGGTTAAGGTCGCAGATTTCGGACTTGCCACGGTCATGTCAAACATTATCCCATCTCTTGACTCTGGCATCGATATAAATCCAGGATTTGAAGGGCCTAGCATGACTCAAAACTTGGGAACTAAACTTTATATGAGTCCAGAACTGGAAACGGACAGTCATTACGATTACAAGGTTGATATTTTTGCTCTGGGGATAATTTTCTTCGAGCTGTTGATGGTGTTTGATACAATGATGGAGAGAGTGGAGTTGATCCAAGAACTGAGAACAGTTCGGACAGTCCCATCTTTCATAGATGCTAATTACCCCAAATACAAAGCAATCCTTTTGCAAATGATTAATTCAGATCCTGCCGACAGACCAACTGCATCAGATGTCAAGGCTTTCTTTTCAAACACGGACTGTGATCAGATTGAGTTTTTGAGCTGATTTCGTAATCCAGATTTGCTGTAAGTGTCAGGGATTAATATATTATATTATTGTCAGATCAGATAAGACAAGTGGTATATTATATAATTTAGTATTTTTAATATGTTGGCAATTCCAACCAGATTTCGATACGTGTGCTGTGGGCCAGCATGTGATTAGCCCAAAAAGTACCAATTGTTAAACTGTTTATTTTAAGAGTTTAAGGATTAGAATTATTCGGAGATCCCCAAAACCTCATACGTAAGATTTATGATCGGTACGAGGTCATAACTCATCAAGCTATGTATCCAAAGTTGTTTTACTTATTATGGTCAAGGTCGGTGCGCCAACAGAAAATCAACATTTTCAATTTTATACACACGAGATAAATTTTCCGCTCAGGTGATTTATAATAACCCTATAATATGAGAAGAATGCTAATAAAATTTTAATTATAATTAAATCTGCGATTATTTTATGCTTTGGCAAATTAATTTGGAATTTTTTAGTTAGGGTTTATTGAAATCAGCGAGATTTTGTTTCGGCTTTTGTTCTTTCTAACGCTGGTTGATTGTTCATTGATGAGGTAATTTTGGTTGTATCAATGCAATGACCTGCTTAATATGAATTGGGTCAATTTTCTGTTAAACATGTAGTTGTATTTTTATTTGATTGGTTTCAAAAACTGTTCCTTTATCATATCCCTGGGCAGGGTCTTGCCATAAGGTTTTAAGATTTTTACTATCCTAGTTTTGGTAGACTTTGATTTTGATTCTATTTATTTATTTGAAAGTGCCAAAACTTTCCAGGCTCTTAAAACGAAAATACCTATTTTGTGAACAACAATTACTTGTCATATCTATTTTGCTTGCATCCCCATAAAACGAGATTTATTAGTTACCAACATAAAGAACTTGTTCAAGTTTCTAATGGAGTAAAAATCAAGAATTTAGATTCCTCAGTTAATAAGTTAATAATTATGCATGCTCAACTGCACAGTAGTTGAACTACTGTAAGGGCCATCAGAAATTTAAGAATAATTCATGTGGATAATTGGTCAATTATGAGAATTGTAGTTCACCTGATTGGGAATCGAGCGGTTTACTCGATTAATGTTTACTCAAAATTATAATACAAACAGTAATAGATAGAAAATAGTAACGTTAAAGAATTCTTTAAAAAAAAAAAAAAACCCTCTGGAAAGGGCACTGCACACGGTTTATCAAAAAGTACACTGTGATCATGAAGTACTATGAACTACAGATTTAAAAACACAACGCTTCACGCTACACATGATATTACACATCCATAACCTATAGGTTAAGAAGTTTAGAATTGCACTGAACAGCTTGGACTATTGTTTTTAAAATTTTGTGCAAAATTTTACCATCAGTGATTAATGATTTTGGCCGGTAACTCAGCGCTTACAGTAATTATGAGTGCGCGATTGAGATTAATGTATGGAAGAAGAATTTAGCGGCAGTGAAATGCTTGCTTATCTACGCTAAGTGGGGGTAGTTATGCGAGCGGTTATTATATTGGTAGTCAGTAATTGCAAGTTGTTATTTAAATTTGTGTCATTTAGTGTAGTTTCTATGTGCTGGGTTGTGTGATTTTCATACTGCTCCCTGTTGCAAGCCATTAATTAGACAATAGACTTAATTTAAACTTAGATTATATTCGTTTCAGTTGAAATTCGATTCAGGTTAAATGTTAAAAGTTTAAATTTCACGTCTAGACTGTCTTAGGCCAGGAACATTGTGCAGTAGGAATGGTTGCCACTCGTTAACATCACCATCACTTTGGAGATTAAGTAGCATTTTCTTGGCACTAGTCTTGAACAGATTTATCGAAAATAATGTCGGAAGTGTAGTAACGTCTGCTTTGTCTGCGAAGACAGAGAGCAGTGGTCCCTTGTAGAAAATACTGTTTTGAAAGTGTCTTTTCCCGTATAACTGGAGCCAGGAGCAGGCTGACGTGTGATCAGAAAGTTTTGTGGGTATGTCGGCGGGAAAAGCTTGAGAGATGTTTTTGGGGACTAATTGTGGCATGTTTTTAACTTTATGCATCAAGATAATTGAGTTGTAAACGATAAGACCATGCACAGTGAGAATTTCATGTTCACTGAAAAATGGCTTTGTGTGTTGTGGTAAGGCACCTTCCTTAAAGTAGTAGTTTACGAAGACAGGCATAATAGCCCTTATTTCTTGCTTCTGTTTGCTGAATAAAGCATCTATATGGCTTTTTGCAGCAAAACCCCATATCAATGAACAATAGTTTATATGAGACTGTACAAAGCTTTGGTATATCTGGAGTCTAACTTTAATCGGCAGCCGACTTTTTATTTTGTACATAATACCAATATACCGCATCATTTTCGCTTTAAGAGCAGTAATGTGACTGGTCCAGGTCAATTTTTCGTCAACAATTACGCCAAGAAATCGGGCCTCAGTTTTTCGCTCAATAGTGGTGCCTGCAATTTGAATATTTACGTCAGGTGTTGAGGTTCTGTTGGGTGAGAGGAGCATGTAGCACGTTTTCTTAAGGTTTAACGAAAGACCATTTTGATCTACCCAGTTTATCAATAAAGGTGAAAATTCTGTCATCTTTTGTAGTATTTCTTGATGATTTTTACCTGAGATAATTATGTTTGCGTCGTCAGCATATAAAACAAATTTAGCGTACGATTTGATTTTTGGCATGTCATTGATATATATTATGAAAAGTAAAGGTCCTAGAATACTGCCTTGCGGCATTCCGTGTCTCATGGACTGTGAGGAGGAATTTGTGCCCCCTATTGAAACATACTGACTCCTGGAACTTAGATAAGACTTGAACCATTGGTGTGCTAGTCCTCTTATGCCATAATGATACAGTTTGTCTAAGAGAATATCGTGGGAAATTACATCAAACGCTTTGCTAAAATCAAGTAGGAGGAGTAGAGAGACCTCTTTTTTGGAGAGGTTGTGTCTAATCGTGTTGGTTGCATCAAGGAGCGCATGTTCACACGACCGACCCGGCCGAAAACCGTATTGTCCTTCAAATAAAGTGCTATGTCGCTCCAGGAAGTCAAGGACTCTTCTGTGCATGAGTTTCTCATAGATTTTTGAAAAGGTGCAGAGCAATGATATTGGTCTGTAGTTTTTCACATCTAGTTTTGAGCCTCCCTTAAGGATAGGAACTACCTTTGCAATTTTCAGTGATGTCGGAAAGCAGCCTTCATTGAAGGAAGAATTTACTACATTTGAGAGTATTCCACAAAACTTAGGACAATCCTTGGCAATCTTGAGCGGCTCAACTTTTACATCCTGTGTGGCCTTATTTTTCAAGGTACATATTGTTCGTTGGATTTCGACAGGATCAGTGGGCGAGATGAACATGCTCTCCTCAACCTGGCTGTCTAAATATCTTGCATGCCCGCCAGGGTCGAAAGTGGTACGCGCACTGATCTGATCTTTGATTCTAGTTGCTATATTAGCAAAGTACGCGTTGAAATGTTCAGCAACATCGCGGTTCGAATTTATCAAGTTTCCATCATCTCTCCTCAATTTGAATTTGGAATTTTGCTTAGCTTTCCTGCCTAGAAGTTTATTTATCATCTCCCACTGTTTCTTTGAATTGTACTGATATTCTTCAAAGTATTTTTTGTGGTATTTGTCCCTTGCTAGATTGATATGTTTTTCACAAAAATTTTTCAATTTTTTGTACGTAGCAACATTTTTCTGTGTGGGGCAAACTGTGGATTCAAAATACATCAAGTTTTTTCGAGCACACGCGTCTTCAAGCCACGGCAGAATAAAAGGCTTGGGGTTTTTCCTTTCATTCATCCTTCTGACATGCTTAGATTTGATTGGATACGCGGTGTTATAGTGCTTGTTGTAGATTTCGTTGAACTTATCATACTGCTCATTAGCATCCATGTTTGATGTTATTTGCTCCCAATTTTCAGCGTCGATCAGTTCGTAAAATTTTAAGTTATTAGCGGCGTTGAATGCACGTGTATCACGCTTTTGTGATCGTTCGGTTTTGGATCGATCATTAGCAGGACTGTAAGAGAAATCACCAAGAGAGATCGTAGTCAAGGTGGCAAAATGGTCTGAAATGTCAACTGTCAGGACATTGCAACTGAGAGTATGCTGAACATCGTTGCTGTAGACATGATCAATTAAGGTCCTGCTGTGACTTGTAACTCGTGTTGGTCGTGCAACAAGCTGAAAAAAACCGTATTTCGACATGGTGTCCACTAGATTTTGGCAATGTACATTGTTGCTGTGGTTTATGAGGTCTAAATTAAAATCTCCAGCAAACATTATGTGTTTTCTGTTGTGACGGTCTAAGCTTAATAGTACGGAATCAAGTAAAGCTATGAACTTATCGGGGTCACGTGATGGAGACCTATAAACGTCAACAATTAGTTTGGTTTTGTTGAGTCCTTTACAGTTGTTAATTTTCACCAACATGAATTCACCTGCCGATTTGGTGATCTCATCTACGTCCCGGAGATTAGGAATAAATTGTTCAATATTCTCAAACTCACACACTCGCTTATTGATATAAATTGCAAGACCACCACCCCGACCCGAAGTTCTGTTTGGGCCCTTAAGTAGAGGTTCATGGAAACCCTCGAGTAAAATATCAGTTACGCCATTGGGCAAATTGGATTCAATGAGATTGGTTTCGTTCAGACATAGGACATCGTACTTGCAGTATGTTTCTATGTTTTCTCGCAGGTGTTCAATATTCTTAATCACTTAAAAGTAGTTCCCGATAAACTGTTCTAAAAAGCATGTGATTCTAACTTCTCACTTTCTAACATAGAAAAATGTAGGAAGAACCTGGAAAATATTTAGAATCTCTGGAGTATTCCTAAAATAGAAGATGTAAGAAGTGACCATATGAAACTTCTTCTAACGTTGAGGAAATGTCGGGAAAAGATGATAGGCCTCGTGCCAGTACTCTGTAAGTCTTCCCATTATCTTTTTATTAAAACGTTCAATTAATAGATCAATTATTAGCTATTGTGTATATTTACTTAATTGGAATGATTATTGATTATGACATATTATGACATAAACGTACTGTGAAAAAATATCAGCCGAGACATTGTTTGCGAGTTTTTACTGATAATAATCAATGTACAGTGTACACACGATAGTTAGCATAATTAATTGATTCTATGACATAAAAAAGGGGGCTCGGCTTATAATTAACCGCGCTTTATTGATATGTATAGCGACTTAGTAAGATGAGGTGATCAGGTGATCCTATAAATACCTGTCTACAAAGTTGCTAATTGTGCTAACTGACTCAGTGTGTATTGTTTACACTATGTACTACCTGCCAAGTAATGTTTATTATGTAAATGACAAGCTGGTTAATATGTAGGATGTTAAATGAATTCTTCGCAATCGAGGGTAAATAAAAAGTGTTGTTCTACCTGAAATATCTTCATTTCACAAAATATTCTTAACGTTTAGACCTTCTCTCTCAGGGACGAAGACTGGATGAAGAAACTAAGAGAACTGCACCCAGTATCACCCCCACGATCTGGCTCTGATCCACTAGCTAAGATCGTGTCTAGACCAACACACCTGACTAAACCTACTAGCGACCGAAACGAGACAGTCTCGCGACACGAGACTGTCTCTCGACACGAGTCACGAGACAGACAGAGGACAGACAGTGGAGCCAGTAATGATCCTAGACATCACCTTCACCATCAACAAAGTGATCCTGTTGCTTCCACCAACTTCCTGGACGTCTTACGACAGCCCTCAAAACCACGCCACAAAAGTGACAGTGATTACCGTTACGTGAGGTCTGACAGTGCTGCTAAAACTTCTCCCCCAACTGAGAAGACCAGGACCAACAGGCAACACAGTAAACAAGGTTTATTCTTTTATGTCCTGGGTTTGGGCCATGCAATTTTGTGTTTGTTTTTCTATCCTACGGAATTAAAAACATTTTCATATCTCATACAATGGCTTTGTGTGTGTTAATGCTAGAAACTGTTCGGTTTCTTATCAATTCGTCTGAAATATGTTTACTCTCGACAATAATGGTCGACAAATAATCTCTTTCATTACACTATTACAGGTATTACAGTGACTTAAGTTTCTTGTCATAAAGGTCGTTTACTTCGTTAGTAATCGTTATATTTGTTTCTTATGCTTGTAGAAAATGTTCTATATTTGTTTCTTTATTATTATATTCAGTTATTGAATATTTAAGATATTGGACGCTGCGCTACCATCCAATTATTAAAGCCACGTTAATTTGTCTCGCTTTTCCATCAAATGTTCGTAATTTGGGGGCCTATCTATTACGTGTAATCTATTTAGGGTATTTAATATTTATGTCTTTATGTTGTCGTTCGTAATATTTGGTATAGATAAGCTATGAATATTTGATCTGGTAACTGTAAAGCATCGAATTTTTGGAACCATATTAATTGTAGTAGTGGTGATAAATAAATTCGGGCGATTCAACCCTCATTTCCCCAACATGTCTCCGCAAATTATATTTTTACTGTAGTAGATCATAGCATTAATGTCCTAATCCTTGAGCGTTGTTTGTTGACAATTTCCTTGATTGTTTTTCTCACAGCCTTTAATTAAAAGTTGAGGCTTAATTATTCAAAATGCTGGGTACACTGTTTACCATTTCAATCTTTACCACGCTGTACACCATTTAATATGTACATTAATTACCTAATTATATAATCAATTAAATATATATGTTTTGTGCATGTGTGCTGACCCTTACACTTCAGGGATGATATCTGGCTCTCTGACTGTGCATGAACCCCCACTAAATATATGTTACTGTTATAGCTAGAAAATGTAGTGTTCTTCATTCGCAGCAGCCCCCTACTCTGCACATGGAAAGATGGAGAAAGACCCGAGAATATCGAACTTAAACAGGCTCCATACGCGAGCATTCGCTCATATTGATGCAGCGCTCAACTATGACGAGCAAAAAGATGGTAATATCGTCTTTCCATGTTTATTCTCTTATATTCGTCTCCATAGACTATATAGTACTTTGGTAAAGTTACTTTCTAAACATACAAGATTTGACATTCTTGCCTATAACCCCATGATGTCCCTCTTAAATTATAAAGAATTGTCTTGCAGAGGAAAATGCCATAGCAGAGTACAAGAAAGGGCTCAATATCATGGACGACGCTTTAAAGATGCCTGTAAACAACAGCGACTGTGTTGGACGTGACTGGGATAAAGCAAGACTTCTTTACAAGAAAATGGAAGCTAATAAATCCAATATAAAGGGCAGACTTGACAAGTTAGGTAGGTGTCCTCTGTTATATAAACATTTTCTAAATTTATTGCCATGGGATATAATCGATAGGGACAACGTACATTTTGCAGACGTGTCAATAACAATATGCACAATGGATAATGCATTGCGAATGAATTGAATGAGCGGACTTTTTCAGTGGTGGAGAAGCTGGTTCGAGATGGTGGAAATGCGCCAAAGTCCAGTGTCCCAAAGTCCAGTGTCCCAAAGTCCATTGGAAAGAAGCCGTTACTCCGAAAATCAAGTCGCGACGTCTTAGTGAGTTAAATCGAGACCAGGGGCCAAAAATAGCGAATTTTTACGGTGTAAGAATTCATATACGTAGCGCGCGAAACATCATTGCTATGGTAGCAAGCTAACTCTCAAATTTGAAAACGCGCATTATTGTTGCGCGCGATTACTATTATTCGAATGTTTACGTTCGTCTATAGTACCGCCATGCGTACGTATCCCGAATTTGAAAATCCCAACATTTCTATCCGTCAACTGCAGTCTGTTTTTTTAATCCTGTTTAGCTGTTTACTTCTTTTATTATAAAAGTAGTACGACAATGTTTGACTGTTAACCAGTCTACATGACAACGGTGCAATTCGCATTTTTGTCGAAATTCTCTGTAAATGATCCCGAGATAGCTGTATAGGCGTTTCAGACACTATCAAGTGCACTTTCCCCCACGTTAAACCATCGCCCACAGTTTAATTATCATTTTATACCTTTTCAGGATTCTAAAAGGATGGGCGTGAAAAAGGCCACCACCCCTGTTAACGCCAAATGCACATGGGGTGGCACCCCAACCCCAACTCCCACTTCGGCTTATTCTCGTCCCGGTGCCAGAATCTCCCGCACGTCTGTTCCCAAGACCCCTGTTGGGGCTGCTGGTCACATCAGCTCCTGCAAAGCTCTCAAAAACATCGACAGCAAGTTAAAGAATATTATACTCGACGAAGTTGTGTCAGATAAGCCGGGAGTGACGTGGGGCGATATAGCCGGACTTGACAACGCCAAACAAACCCTCCAGGAAATAGGTTAGAACTTAGAGCAATCAGTAAACTCTACTTTCAATCTTTATCCTTAACGACATGAAATTTCCGCCAAAATTATTGTTTACTGTTCGTTGTTCAATTTCTAGCAATCTCGGTTTTTCCAGCAGACTACTTATCATGTGCTTTTACCTGTTTTTAACCCGCAGTGATATTACCTACGCTAAGACCGGACCTATTCAATGGACTGAGGGCTCCTGCCCGGGGTCTCTTGTTGTTTGGGCCCCCTGGTAACGGTAAAACTATGTTAGCTAAAGCTGTGGCTACTGAAGCCAGCTGTACATTCTTCAACATCAGTGCAGCGTCACTGACCTCTAAATACATCGGTGATGGTACGTCATTCTGTGACGTCATTCTGTGGAGAGGAGTCAATTTATCATACATCTCATATTTCTATTTACTGTTTATTCCTTGACTGTTTATTGTTATTGTTGTTCACTCTGATTTGTTGTAAAGTTAATAAACTCCGGAAACTCTAATTTTTCCAATTTTTAGGAGAGAAATTAGTGAAGGCTCTGTTTGCAATAGCTACAGAGATTAGTCCTGCTATAATATTCATTGACGAGATTGACTCGCTCTTGACTGAAAGACGGGAAAACGAACACGAGGCTACTAGGAGACTAAAAACAGAGTTTCTTGTTCAGTTTGATGGAGTGAGTCTCCCTATTTAATATCCTTATTTATCACGCAAAATTCTCACTTTGTCTGTTCACTTCGAAGATCATTTTAAAATATTTGGAGCAGTTTTTATCACTCAAAACAAACCGAACCCGCGCTCAGGTTGCTTCACAACAAGACAAGCGGATCTTAGTAATGGGAGCCACAAACAGACCACAAGACCTGGACGATGCTGCTCTGAGACGACTTGTAAAACGTGTTTATGTTCCTCTTCCCGAGGCTAAAACCAGATTCATGATAATACAGAAGCTACTTGATAAGCATTCCGCACCGCTAACCGAAGATGAAATGTCAATACTTGCCAGGTATTGCTGAAATTTTTCAACTTTTCTCTAATTCATCAGCGGGAGGGCCGATCTAGTTAAAATTTATCCAATATTTTCCATTTTGGACGAGCCAAATCCTATGATAAACTAATTTCTCAGAAAGACAGAGGGATACAGTGCAAGTGATCTGACAGCTCTAGCACAGGACGCAGCGTTCGGACCCATAAGGGAAATAGCCCCTGACAAAGTAAAGGATATCCCCGCCAATGAAATCAGAAAAATACAGTTTTCTGACTTTGCGAACAGTCTTAAAACTATCCGACCCAGTGTTAATAAGGACTCGCTAGGTGGGTTTGAGAAATGGAACAACGACTATGGAGCGAAATGACAGCGTTCATTTTTTAGTGCGGTTTTCCGAGATGAGAATGCAAGTTGCAGTGCAAGAGTGCAGTTAACATATGCACGTGCTCATTACAGTGACCACACGTGCTTGATTTGGTTGTGTGACACGTTCAGTAGTAGATGTAATGAATTGGCGATTTATACGTTTTTGTAATAGTGGTGGGGACAGATAATTTATCTTTTTTTGGTAGATCTTAATTCTATTTGGCCTCAATAAATTTATATTTAAGTTAATTAAGACTTAATCACTGCTATCATTACATATTTAGCTGGTTTGTGGGTCGATGAGCAATATTGAAATATTGTTATCTTCGTGATTGACGACTAGTTTTTATCTTCAGTTAGATTTTAATAAGAATCGTTGCAATAATGAATAATTATGTTACGATTTAGTTTCACTTCTATTTTGTGATATAATGTATTATAAATCATTCAAGTGAGGTGTTACAATTCTTTTTACAATTAAAAACCGTTCAATTATGATCAATTTATTTTCTTCGCAGTATAGTCTATGTAATTGCTCTATCCAAAGCCCTTGCGCTTGCAGTGGCGCGAAAGCACATGGTTAGGTGAATCTTTGTAATAATGAATAAGCGCCATGAGTTGGCACCGAATTTGTTTTCTCCGATTTTGATAATTTTGGTACCAAAAGTCGCCTTCAAGTATATGAATAATGCAAATTCATCGTTCAGCAGGTCGAGCTGTATGTGGCGTGGGCCTTCTGTGCACTGCAAGTGTACAAAAAGGACGAAAAATGGGTAGTTTCTTGCTTAAAATGCCTATAACTCCTAAAATATCGAATATTTTGAAAAACTATAAGAACGCCCACGAAGATCCGTATCTACAAGGCTGCTGTTATTACTATTCTGTTATATGGAGCTGAAGTGTGAAACACAACAATTACAAAGAAGCAGATGAAACGGTTCGAGGTCTTCCATCTGAGAAGAATCTTGACGATAAAGTGGTTCTTTCATGTCTCCAATGAAGAAATTCTCAGGCGTGCTGGAATTAAGTCTATTGAAACTTTCATCGGTTCAGCTAGCCTAAGGTGGTACGGACACGTTGTCACAATGCCAGAGACACGGTTTCCCAATTTTCTACTGGATTGGAAACCAAACTATGGAAAGAGACTAAGAGGACGACCCCACAAAGGCTGGATGGCCTGTGTACTCGAGAATGCAGCTGACTTTACAGGTGTTGATAATATCAGCAGAGATGCAGTAAAACAGTTAGCTCTAAAACGAGTGAAATGGAGGAACATGATACACCGTAAAAGAGATGTGTGTGATGCAGGCCACTCCAACGACTAGGATGAGACCTCTTCATGTAGCATATATGTATTCTGAAGATCGGTGATAGTACTCTGATCTGAAATCTTCTCACTTTTCAGCTTGTCAATTTCTTCTGCAAGAGGTATTGCCTTCCTTGGCCAGGGGATACTGAACTGGTCCAATATACAACAAAAAGTTTCCAACCATTTGCATGGTTTCTCTTTCGTTAGTGATCTCTCATCTCTTGTTCATCAAATCGCAAGATTGAATTTCCTCGCACATTGTCTTGTTGATTTCACTACAAATCTCGTCTAAAACACTATCCCTGGCTTTTGCAACTTGGTCAAAATACGAATCATGAAAGATCTGATCTGTGATAATTAATTCATTTAGTTGATAATTAATTCAATTTCAAATTCAAATTATATTTCTCCGGTATTTTTCTCTTAATGACGACCAGGGGTGTAGGAAGCGGGGGGGCAGGGGGGGCCATCGCCCCCCTATGAAATCTGGGCAAGGGGCCAAAAAGGGCCAACTTTTTAATTTAGGCTTCTACAAATTTTCCCCGAAAATTTTCAAGTCAAAATTTTTCTAAGTCAAAAATTTTCAAAGTTTTCTTGAAAACTACTTTTGTTCATGTTTCATGCTACCCTGATCATTATGAGCCAAAAATATTTTTTTTCGGTTTTCGAAGTTCGATATACGATTTTGGACTCGAGGGTTCCCCTTCGCAATACGAGCTCGGAAGCGGGAGCTCTGCTTTCAGAGGTACTTATCGTGAATGACTCTGACCAAAAATTTTCTAAGTCAAAATTAAAAAAAGTTTTCTTGAAAACTACTTTTGTTCATGTTTCATGCTACCCTGATCATTATGAGCCAAAAATATTTTTTTCGAAGTTCGATATACGATTTTGGACTCGTTCCCCTTTGTGATGCGATCTTGGAAGGCAGGCCTCCCCTTCGTAATACGAGCTCGGAAGCGGGAGCTCTGCTTTCAGAGGTACTTATCGTGAATGACTCGGACCGAAAATTTTCTAAGTCAAAATTTAAAAAAGTTTTCTTGAAAACTACTTTTGTTCATGTTTCATGCTACCCTGATCATTATGAGCCAAAAATATTTTTTTTCGGTTTTCGAAGTTCGATATACGATTTTGGACTCGAGAGTTCCCCTTCGCAATACGAGCTCGGAAGCGGGAGCTCTGCTTTCAGAGGTACTTATCGTGAATGACTCTGACCAAAAATTTTCTAAGTCAAAATTTAAAAAAGTTTTCTTGAAAACTACTTTTGTTCATGTTTCATGCTACCCTGATCATTATGAGCCAAAAATATTTTTTTCGAAGTTCGATATACGATTTTGGACTCGTTCCCCTTTGTGATGCGATCTTGGAAGGCAGGCCTCCCCTTCGTAATACGAGCTCGGAAGCGGGAGCTCTGCTTTCAGAGGTACTTATCGTGAATGACTCGGACCGAAAATTTTCTAAGTCAAAATTTTAAACAGTTTTCTTGAAAACTACTTTTGTTCATGTTTCATGCTACCCTGATCATTCTGAGCCGAAAATATTTTTTTCGGTTTTCGAAGTCCGCACCTACCCTTCGATATACGATTTTGGACTCGAGGGTTCCCCTTTGTGATGCGATCTCGGAAGGCAGGCCTCCCCTTCGCAATACGAGCTCGGAAGCGGGAGCTTTGCTTTCAGAGGTACGTATCGAGAATGACTCGTACCGAAAATTTTTCAAAGTTTTTCGGGAAACTACTTTTGTTCATGTTTCATGCTACCCTGATAATTCTGAGCCGAAAATATATTTTTCGGTTTTTTGAAGTCCGTACCTACATTCGGAAGGTTGTGGATGTAATACTGATTGGTTTCATATATTAATTATAGAAAACGTGATATTTGGCCAACAGATTTGAAGAAAAATAAGCGAATTTGGTCCTCAGATTTAAAGGAAAATGCGCAATTTGACGCGGAGAACTGAAAAAATCGCGATTTGTCGTGAGGCCAGGATCTGAAAAATCACGACTTGTCGCGGCAAACGTGAAAAATCGCGATACTGCACATGTTGCAATTTCCTTTTGTCCTTACCCTCGAAATTCAGGCTTTGGCGCGAAGCGCCAAAAAATATTTAGAATTTGGCCCCCCCATGAAGAAAATCATTCCTACACCCCTGATGACAACAATTTAAAAAAGTAAAATATGGCTACAAAGAAAAGAGAAAAAAAATCAAGGATTGTTGCGAGATTCCTGTCCTATGTCGCCCTAAGAACGCAGCAAAGAGTACTAACAAAAATGATCTACAGACTGGCTCTCAAGTAAGTTTAGAAATGTGGTATCTGTACCAAAACTGTGTTTTCTTAAATTTTTGACTTAAGTCACAAACTTTCTTGCCTCTATTATTATATTTGGCTGTATATACAATACAACCCCAATGTGCAAATAGGAAGTTGCATAGCTGTTTTTACATATTACTCGGCTGTATCTTCAGTTGGCACTTGATATTGATGTTATTTGATGCAATAAAAACTTAATTTCAAAGAATACTATTAGCTTCTTCTCTGTGCAACTATGATGGGTTTTTCGTCAAACTGATAATTTTCTTTTTCAGCTCCCCGAAATCCCGCTATCTAAAAATAGATCCTTACCTAAAAATAAACGGACTTGTCATCGAAGCCAGGATGTTGCTACAACATGGAAATAACTTTGAGTATCGGTAAGAAAATAGAGTTTAGATCAATCAAAGATGTATGCTTTTTTTTAAATCTCTGGCTTATAAAGACCCAACCCAAAGTTCTTGTTCCTTGGCAAGTCGTCTCAGTAAAATGAAGATTTTGTTTCTCATAAAATCAAATGTAACTTGGTGCTTAGCGTTTTTTTTTCAGGAAATTTTTCGGCATGAACAAATTAGAGTTCAAAACACTCTCTATGAAACTTACTCCAAAACTCTTGTCTACATCGAAAGAAGAGATGCCTCCAGGGATGTCTCCAGAAGCTAAGTTGGCCTGTACATTGAAGTAAGAATATTTTTAAACTTTTAAAACTCATGATATTTGTTTTATGATTTCTCAGAGGAAGCGTTGAATTACTTTATACATGAGAGATGAACAATCCATCAGTTTCACACATAGAAATTGTGTCAAAATTACACTGGCGTAATCATTTGAAAACCCCTTCCCCTCGGCTGATAACGTAATATATGAACGACTCCTAATGATGTGTTCTGGGCACATTATTTCCCTTTAAGATTTTGTAAAACTCAATAATTTCAGCTACCTCCGAAGCGGTTCAAGTTTCACAGTTCTGGCCATTTGGTGGTCAATTAGCTCGCAACACTTGGATTTTGTTGTTAAACAGGTTTAGTTGTGTTTTTATTGGAATTATGATACGCTTCAAAATTACACTACTAGCTTTCTGTAATAAGGACTAAGGTGTTGTTTTCGTTTAAAGAATGCTTTTCAAATTAAATTTTGCGAGTTTCACTAATCTTGATTTCATGCCAGATATAAGATCTTGCAGGTCTTATGTTAATATACCATGCAATGCACTTTGTTGGATAACTTAGGCCTATATTAACTTTAAAGTTGGTTACCGTGATGGTAAAAGTACCCGTGTAATGATGTTGTTTTAAATAGCCTTTGTAGATTTTGAACGATCTCCTTCTGACACGGTAACCAAATTCTGCCGAAGTTAACATTCACCCTTTAGCTTTATGTCTTGGTAAAACTTCATAAAATATTTGTGTTACAGGTTTGTCAGGCTCTGTGTGATCTTTTGAGTGTAGAGGCTGATTGCCGCCCGAAAAGTCTCGAAGACTGGCTTAAAATAGCTGACGAGTTCGATAGTAGATGGAGGTTGCCCCACTGTCTAGGTATATAATTACAACACTAAAAAATAGTTTTCTTATCGGCTTTTCGCCATATGAACAAAGCGACTTTAGAAGGGGTGATTAAGATGGGAATGCTACTTTAGAAGTTGGTGAATCTGAATAATACTAACTATACTATAGAGTATATTACGAGAATATGAAAGTTTGTGCTGTACAATATTTAATGAAATTATGTACTTGTACTTACTGTGCTTTGTTATTCGACGGTCTTCGGGTCTTACATTCTGATTAAAATATTGACTCATCATTCTAAGCTAATAAAACACACCGTAGGAGCGGTGGACGGGAAGCAAGTGAAAGTAGTGAAGCACCCAAGAAGTGGTTGCCTCCTCCACAATTACAAGGATGAGTCTATCATCCTCCTTGCTGTTGTCGACGCAAAGTACAGGTACGTGAAGTTTCAGATTCTTATTAATAAAGTGAAACCCCTAAATATTGAACAAATGTCCCAATATGTTGGAGGAATGTCTAAAATATTTGGAGTTTAATATCACGTGATCTTTTGACTTACGGGTTATGAATGTGTCTTCGTGTCAGGTTCCCACTCCCTCTCAATCATGTTTTTTTTATGGAATTAGGTTATTTCCTGATATTAAATCCTAGAAGGTTACCCAAAGAGATCCTTCTTTTCTAATCTTTTTGACTGTTCCACAAACTTTATGTGGTTGATTTTGCTGTTGATAATTTCCTCCATTGTGAGAAAAGGTTTGCCAAATATCCTCATTCTGATCAGCTGTATATATTCTGCTTAGGCATTCAAATTCGATACCTTTTTTTAAATCTTTCGAATTTGGGTATTTATTTGACTGATTTGGATCGATGAAACTTTATTTTCGCAGGTTCATACATTTTAATGTGGGGGCGTCTGATTCAAGGAGTGTATGGGCAGAGGACAGACTTGGGTCAGCTCTGAACAAGGGCCACCTTGACAGCTTTATTCCTGCACCAAACTACCTCCCTAGAGACGAGAAGGTCAGATTTCCGTTAATATGATTAATTTTATAGCAAATAACGATACAAATGTATATCATATGTGGAGATAGACGTGGTTCATTTTTTTACACTTAAGATGTAAAAGGATAGGAAAGCTTTTTTAAACTTGTCGTTTGACTTCAGAGATCTTGTGGATTGGTCAACTACTTCTTCGTCGGGGACGACGCTTTCGGGCTTCAGCCCCACATGATGAAGCCATTCAGGGTTAGGAACGGGATGAAGGACAAGGATCTAATGGATAATACCAACTACCGCTTATCCAGGTAATGTATAATATATTATGATATACAATTATCGAGTGAATTGCCGCTTTTACAAAAGTAATTTTGTTGTTTTTCAACTTTTTATTAATTGCTAATAAGATTTATAATCTCATTTCATTGCCATTTTTTTTGCCCTTGTGAAATGAAAATAAACATCTCCACCGTTTAACATTCTACATAATGCAGTGCTGATGTTTGGCAATTAGGTTGTTATAGGTAGCACTTATTAACTTAATACGACTATGGAATATAATTGCTTACCTCTAAACCAAACCTTGTTATTTGCAGTGCGAGAAAGGTGGTCGAGTGTGGTTTTGGGCACTTGGCCCGAAATTTCAGAGTTTTTGATGTTCTCCATACGAGAAAGGAGATGACTTCCTTAGTTGTGAGGACGTGTGTTCACATCCACAACTTCCTTCGGCTCAGCAGAGAGGATGAGGAAAAGGAGATCAGACAGATCATGAAGCCGGCGAAGAGAAATTTTGAGTCGATTTTTCTTCCTCCCCGACCCTTCTCCCGGCCACTCTTGGTGGAGAAGGCTGAAGTTAACCGTTACCGACTTCACCTTTACTTCAACTCTGTTGATATAGTTAAAAGTATGTTAAGTTACAGTTACACTTTACTAGGACCATCAAATATTCAACATCAGGGACAAAAGGAAATCGCGGCATGTACGGAATCGCGATTTTTCCCATTATTTGCGAAAAATTTTATGTATAGTTTAATATACCGCGAAATGTAATTCGCGGTATCGCGATTTTTGGCCAAAATAACCGCGAAATTCTTTTGTCCCTGTTCAACATGGGTGTAAGATAAATTGCGTTCTATGTAAAACTACATTACCTTGGCCTTCATCTACCATATAAAACTGTCAGTCTCGAGCTTCGAGAGCTAGAGATAGAAAACTTTGATTCATGTGTGTGATATAATTCATCAAATAATCTTGTTCATGGCACGATATTAGGGTTCGCTAAATTCTCAAACCTCCATGCTTAAATCGGCAACAATATTTGGGGTTGATAGCATATTACTCCAGCACTTTTTTAGTTTTAATAACACAATAGCATTGCGTACAACCGATTACTCTAACCAGAGCCCTCTCGCTTGCAGACTGCAGTAGCGCGCGACCGCAGTACCCGTAGACACATGGCTATGTGAATACAACTGATAACGGAGAGTGGGGAGGGGGGGGGGGCTTTGGCAAAAATAAGTAAATCAGTTGATTTTTGAACTACCCTTTTATACACGATATATATATAATAGAACGTCCTCGATCCAATAATAATAATATATCACAATGCTGGCAAGCATTACCGTCGCCCTTATATTCACAATACTATTTACCCCCTATACTATTATATCCCCTTTATTGTTTTCCAGGCATTAAAACTCTTTCGAAAGTAGTTCAGCAGGTACATTTAAGTTCAAAACATTCTAATTCAATGTTAAAGATGACAGGAATAAGAAATAGTTATATGGAGGTTTTTAAGAAATTTTCGCAAAATTCGCGCCAGCATGTTATACGAAATTAGGTAAAAAACCCAAAATCGCCATATTCAGGTGCCTTAAAAACCATGTTAAAATTGAGTTAGAGATCTGAAACTTTGCAGGGCGTCTAGACCTTGTCCAAATCGACAGTGAAAAAAAATTCATGTTTCAGGAGTATCGGGAAGTGGGTTTTCTGGAACCCCTGTTTTACAGCAGATTGTCGTGAAGATATATATATATATTTGAGACATTCAGTGAAACAGTAAAACACGAAATTCACATTAAGCTATCGATTGTGTAATCTTTACATGTCTCATTCTGAAAGCAAGTTTATTAAAATAACTGTTCTATGAAGTAAATTAAAAACATGACAAAAATAGATCAATACTGAGATGGGAAATTTGTGAGTAAGTCTCATTCAATCATAAGATATAAACAAAAGATGCAGAGGTGAAAGTAAACATCAAAATGCAAGTGTCTGTGGAAAGATTAATATTAAAGCATATCATATAAAGGTCAATTTTTTATTTCATTAAGAGCACTACGTTTATTAAGTCCTCCAAAATCACTGAGGGTCATAAGCTGGTTTTGCCAAAATGATTCTCTTTCTTTAGCAACCCTACTTCTATCTTCTAAGGTTAAACATTTTATAAAATCTAGCTTTTCAAAAATAATAACCTCTATCTGATCGGATAACTCATTGTCAAACGTTTTTAAGGGCTCTTTAGTAAGATTATGGAACTGGTTATCGTTAAAATGACAAGAAATTTCACAACTCCTAACCGCTTTCCTAATATGTGATTTGTGGTTCTGCCATCTGGTCTTAAAATTGTTAACTGTGCTTCCTACTGAAGCACGTCTGCAGACTTTATCCCTTACTAGATAGCACACCCCTACTGTGTTGCAGTCTAGTTGTCCAATGATGTTAACAGTGTACCCCGAGTGGTAGCTCTGAGCTGTTTTTGATTCACAAATATACATTCTACAGGCTTTACATCTGGAGTTACAATGATAACATCCCCCCTCTTCTATACTAGTAGGCAGAGCCACATTTTCAGTGTTAGAGTTTAAAGCTATAACATTACTATCTTCATGATACTTACGATCTTCTGAAAGTTTACTCGGAACTAAAGTTTCTTTGATAGTTTTATTACCACTATATGAAACAAATACTTTACTAGGCTGGATCACAGACTTTAAAAGGGGGTCTAGGCCAAGGATAAATTTATTCTTGTTAACTATTTTACCAATTGGAGGTAAGTTAGGGTCAAAATCACAAACTAAAGGAAAACATCTTTCACTCTTCTTACTATTAGAGCTTGTAAGGTTTTTTGAAATCAGATCATCCCGTTTAAGTAACTCAACTTTCTCAAAGGATTTATGGATAAGATCTTTATTGTAATTCCTATCTTCTAGATATTCACTAAATTCAATTTTACATTTCAAATACTCTTCTTCCTCTGAACAGTTTTTGAACACTCGATGTGCTACTCCATATGGAATATTCTCTGCTATGTGTGTAGGGTGGCAGGATTGTGGGAGTAAATAGCTATGGGCATCACTAGGTTTGCAGTACGTCCTAGTTTCTAGCTTGCAATTTTTCGAGTAAATAAACAGGTCTAGAAATTCAGTCCCCTCTGTAGAAGGTGTCGACATTGTAAACTTGAGGTTTGGATGGTATTGATTGAGCCAAAGCAGGAACTGGTCTAGCTTCTCCAGTGACTCAGTCCAGGTGATGTATATGTCGTCACGGTATCTGCCATAGAACTCAGGGGTTGTGATTTCTTGGCTCTCCACGATCTTACTGTCCAAGGGGCTGAGAGCTGAGTCTGCATACTGGCAAGCATTATTTGGACCCATCGCAGTTCCACTTGTCTGTACATACATGTTGCCATTGAAAACAGTGATGTTGTTATCCAGGGTTATCTCCAAAGCTTCCATAACGCAGTCTGTGGAGAAAAGTTTAGTACTTCTTTGGTCTAGTAAGGTTCTACAGGCTGGTAGTCCAATCTCCTTTGAAATGCTGGGGAACATGTTTACAATATCAAATGTAACGTGGTAGATGGTCTTCCCAGTCAATCTTCCTGACTCATTGAGTTCTTTCATCTTCATAAGTAGATCATTAGAATCCATGAGGCAGTGGGGCAGGGTTACCTTCTTTAGTTCTTCTGCTGTGAATATTGAGAGGTTCTTGATGTAAGAGTTACATCCAGTGCTGATAAGTCTCCCAGGGTAGTTTTTCTCTGGTTTGTGAGCTTTCAGGTTCATGTAGTTTACTCCAGGTTCATTTTCCTCTTCACTAGGTGTAACCCATTCCATAAAGTTTGGGGTCATGCCAGGGCAGTCAGCATCTGCTGAGTATTTCAGAACCCACTCTTTAATGGTGATGATGGTTGTGTGGATCTGTTGTTGTTGATCCGATACTTGTTTGAAAGTGCTCTGATCTTTTAGAGCAGCTTCTACTCTATTGATGTAGTCTGATTTGTCTAACACAAAGAACCCAGTCCCTTTATCAAATAATCGAATTACAGCATCATCCCAGCTTTTGAGCTCTTGGATTGCTTTTGTAGTCTCCTTGTCTACATTCCTAGGAGCTGGCTTTGGTTTTCTAGGGTGATTAGATATCTGTTTCTTGACATTGCTGATGAACAGTTCTAATGCATGATTACCACTGTTAGAGAAATTCTTCTTCTTTGAGGTTTTTATTCCTAGAACTTTCTCCATTTGCTTTACCTTCTGGTCAAGGGTTTTCTCATGTTCTTCTACATTTTGGGTGGGGATTACAACTCTACTGAGGACGAAACTCATTCTAAGTGAGTTTGCCCAGGAGTTTACATCTTCTACTAGTTTATCTCTGTTCGTTTTAGAAGGAGTAACTGCAAATGATTCTCCAAGGTGGAAGACAAACTTATGAGCATTTGTAACTGTTTTGGACGAGAGATTAATGACAGTTTTGTCTAATGCAGCTTGGCTGACATTGTTTCTGTTAAGTGGTCTTGATTTTATCCCATCCCTCCTGTGTTTATGGACAGATTTTCTTTTTCTAGGTTTAGTGACTTTTGATTTTTTCTCCTTGCGCCTACGAGTTCTCGTTTTGGTTAGAGATATCCTGGGTACTTCTGGTTGTTCTGGTAATGAAGTATAGCTGTTTTTGATGTATACCTCTGTTCCATTCACCTTGTCTCTATTTAACTTAGAATCGTGTGTTTTCTCAGATTCCAGTTTCTGTTGGCGGATCTTGTGTTGGACAGTAGCCATACCTCTCTCAAAATGGTTTGTTGGCACAGCAGTTTTAAACTCATTTTCCAGTTTGTAGTAGTTCTCTCTTAGTCTGTTTGACCAGTTGTGGTAGTAGAGGATTAAGATATCCAAGATTCTGCTAGCTGTGAATATCATCATACTGGCGGTTAACTTCTCTAAAACAGGGTCTCTGACACTACACTGAAATTGACACTGTTCAAAGATACCTTTTGGTATTGTTGATTGTTGCTTGCTTTTCATAAGGTAGAAGTACTGCTGTTGTATACGGATGTTTTTCCTTCCAGCATTAGACAAAGCAGCAATAAACCTATCGGAAGTGTTAGTAGGTCTGTGGTACATATTTTGGGGGAGACTTTGTTGCGATGAGTGTGGAGAGTGTATTAACAAAGTTTACAGACTGGTGCACAAACATGAACGTAGACAAAACACTGATATGACAAGGACAGGATGAACTTCTGGATCACTCTACTGGTAGAAGATCTGGCGGAATCTAAAGAAGTCAGTGTGATTTGACTGTTGCTTTCTGATTGTAGATTCACAGCACGGAAGTCCAGGTAACTGTATTCACTGATGTATATATATTTGAGACATATATATATAATAATTTGACCAAAACCCATAATCATGGGTAGAGTGGACCGCTGCCAGTGTCTCTCTTTCCCAAACAAAAGGAAATGATATTAATTTGATTGACCGTTCTCAAATGCAAAATGATACCGAGAATGAAATCGGTCGCTCGCTTTTCCCATTCATTCACGGCTTTCGAATTGTAATAAGTTTCGATTGATTACATCAATCAGATGCTGTAAAAATCTCTTTGGTTGCGTTCGGGTCGATACCTAGTATTTCGGGGTAAGGGTGGTAGTTACTACTGCTGAAGTTTATTGAATCTTTATTGCCGAGTACAGCTGCCTTTGGGTAGTTTTTCATAGTCTATTACAATTGTAAATGAATGGGAAAAGCGAGCGACCGATTTCATTCTCGGTATCATTTTGCATTTGAGAACGGTCAATCAAATTAATATCATTTCCTTTTGTTTGGGAAAGAGAGACACTGGCAGCGGTCCACTCTACCCATGATTATGGGTTTTGGTCAAATATCATCTATTTTTGATTATAATGTCAGGGTACTTTATAAAGTCGAAATATAAACTGATATCTTCATTAATAAGGAGGAAGTTTCAACGATTTCGAAATTTTTCCTTGAAAAACATTTCCTTGTGTTTAGGTAAGCATATCGGTCGATCACTGACTGAATATGCCACTTAATACTCATTCAAGTTGGCATTAAATTCATACATAATGACATTAAACTGTCGTGGCAAAGCAGAATTTGTTGGAAATCACGAATGAGCAAAATTCTCACCTTTCGCGCGTGCAAACTTTGAGCGGACGTTGCGTGCGCATCCAATATTGAACCGCCGTAAATTTTTGCATGTAATTGTTTTATATATAGTTTGATAAGCATGCAAAGTTTCAAAGTATTTCAAGAAGAATTGTAATCACAACGGCACTCTAAAGTTGACAGAAAATGACGAAAACAGCAATTTTCAGTGATTTTAGCGATTTTCTATCAATTTGGGCGTGTCCCCACGTGTGCAACTTTTCTATTTTCAACTTTAAAACTAGCCTAATGCACAATTTATACCTATAGGAAGCAGAACTGAGCTCCACATCCCAAGGCATGGCCCAACACCAGAGAATACTAAATCGCAAAATTGACGTTTTTATAAAATAATTCTTCAAAAAAGCACAAACTTCAATGACGAATATCTTTATGAAGGAGCAAGCTAGAAAAACTTTCCGGTAGATTTTCAGAATGCTTGAACGATTATCTAAGATGAAAATTTCCTCAGATTTTGAATACAATTACTTTTTAATGGTGTAAAATCATTTTTAAAAGTTATTACTTTGTCAAAAATCAAGTTTTTAAAACGGTTAACTTGATGACGTCATCAAAGGGTGTTCATGACGTCAAATAATTTGTTTGTACAATGTAAACTAAAGTGTAAACAATTATTTTCAAGACCTGTGGTCGGAAATGGCTGTATCTTTTATACTTTTGAATCTATGGACAATTAAATACAGGCTACAATTGGCTGGCAAAGCGTCTATCCCTGAATATGTATATATGTATTTGACCAAAACCCATAATCATGGGTAGAGTGGACCGCTGCCAGTGTCTCTCTTTCCCAAACAAAAGGAAATGATATTAATTTGATTGACCGTTCTCAAATGCAAAATGATACCGAAAATGAAATCGGTCGCTCGCTTTTCCCATTCATTCACGGCTTACGAATTGTAATAAGTTTCGATTGATTAGGTACATCAATCAGATGCTGTAAAAATCTCTTTGGGTTGCGTTCGGGTCGATACCTAGTATTTCGGGGTAAGGGTGGTATTTATTACTTATTGAATTAGCTGAAGTTTATTGAATCTTTATTGCCGAGTACAGCTGCCTTTGGGTAGTTCTTCTTAATCTATTACAATTGTAAATGAATGGGAAAAGCGAGCGACCGATTTCATTTTCGGTATCATTTTGCATTTGAGAACGGTCAATCAAATTAATATCATTTCCTTTTGTTTGGGAAAGAGAGACACTGGCAGCGGTCCACTCTACCCATGATTATGGGTTTTGGTCAAATATCATCTCTTTTTGATTATAAATATAATGTCAGGGTACTTTATAAAGTCGAAATATAAACTGATATCTTCATTAATAAGGAGGAAGTTTCAACAATTTCGAAATTTTTCCTTTAAAAACATTTCCTTGTGTTTAGGTAAGCATATCGGTCGATCACTGACTGAATATGCCACTTAATACTCATTCAAGTTGGCATTAAATTCATTTAAAATGACATTAAACTGTCGTGGCAAAGCAGAATTTGTTGGAAATCACGAATGAGCAAAATTCTCACCTTTCGCACGTGCAAACTTTGAGCGGACGTTGCGTGCGCATCCAATATTGAATCGCCGTAACTTTCTGCATGTAATTGTTTTATATATAGCTTGATAAGCATGCAAAGTTTCAAAGTATTTCAAGAAGAACTGTAATCACAACGGCACTCTAAAGTTGACAGAAAATGACGAAAACAGCAATTTTCAGTGATTTTAGCAATTTTCTATCAATTTGGGCGTGTCCCCACGTGTGCAACTTTTCGATTTTTAACTTTAAAACTAGCCTAATGCACAATTTATACCTATAGGAAGCAGAACTGAGCTCCACAACCCAAGGCATGGCCCAACACCAGAGAATACTAAATCGCAAAATTGACGTTTTTATAAAATAATTCTTCAAAAAAGCACAAACTTCAATGACGAATATCTTTATGAAGGAGCAAGCTAGAAAAACTTTCCGGTAGATTTTCAGAATGCTTGAACAATTATCTAAGGTAATAATTTCCTCAGATTTTGAATACAATTACTTTTTAATGGTGTAAAATCATTTTTAAAAGTTATTACTTTGTCAAAAATCAAGTTTTAAAAACGGTTAACTTGATGACGTCATCAAGGGGTGTTCATGACGTCAAATAATTTGTTTATACAATGTAAACTAAAGTGTAAACAATTATTTTCAAGACCTGTGGTCGGAAATGGCTGTATCTTTTATACTTTTGAATCTATGGACAATTAAATACAGGCTACAATTGACTGGCAAAGCGTCTATCCCTGAATATATATATATATGTATATATATGTATAGATATCACGACAATCTGTCGTAAAACAGGGGTTCTAGAAAACCCACTTCCCGATGTTCCTGAAACCTCAAACTTTTTTTGCAGTCGATTTGGTCAACGTCTAGACGCCTTGAAAAATTTCAGATCTCTAACTCGATTTTAACATGGTTTTTAAGGCACCTGAATATATGGCGATTTTGGGTTTTTTACCGAATTTCGTATAACAGTGCTGGCGAGTATTTTATGCAAATTTCTTAAAAATCTCAACATAACTATTTTTTATTCCTGTCATCTTTGACATCAAATTAGAATGTTTTGAACTAAAAATAAATCTGCTGAACGACTTCCGATGAGTCTTAATGCCTGAAAAACTTCTGCCGGAGGCGGCGGCCTTCGGCCGCCGCCTCCGGCCGGAGTGCACGCTTCGCGTGCACGAAAGAGGCTTGTAACGTGTACCAAAGGGGGTATAATAGTAAAACTAAAGGGGGTATAATAGTAAAGGGGGTACATAGTATACCCACAATAAATGCACCGGTCGTGCTTGCCAGCACTGTGATATATCACGACAATCTGTCATAAAACAGGGGTTCTAGAAAACCCACTTCCCGATGTTCCTGAAACCTCAAACTTTTTTTGCAGTCGATTTGGTCAACGTCTAAACGCCCTGAAAAATTTCAGATCTCTAACTCAATTTTAACATGGTTTTTAAGGCACCTGAATATGGCGATTTTGGGTTTTTTACCGAATTTCGTATAACAGTGCTGGCGAGTATTTTATGCAAATTTCTTAAAAATCTCAACATAACTATTTTTTATTCCTGTCATCTTTGACATCAAATTTCATTTTCGGTATCATTTTGCATTTGAGAACGGTCAATCAAATTAATATCATTTCCTTTTGTTTGGGAAAGAGAGACACTGGCAGCGGTCCACTCTACCCATGATTATGGGTTTTGGTCAAATATCATCTCTTTTTGATTATAAATATAATGTCAGGGTACTTTATTTATAAAGTCGAAATATAAACTGATATCTTCATTAATAAGGAGGAAGTTTCAACAATTTCGAAATTTTTCCTTTAAAAACATTTCCTTGTGTTTAGGTAAGCATATCGGTCGATCACTGACTGAATATGCCACTTAATACTCATTCAAGTTGGCATTAAATTCATTTAAAATGACATTAAACTGTCGTGGCAAAGCAGAATTTGTTGGAAATCACGAATGAGCAAAATTCTCACCTTTCGCACGTGCAAACTTTGAGCGGACGTTTCGTGCGCATCCAATATTGAATCGCCGTAACTTTCTGCATGTAATTGTTTTATATATAGCTTGATAAGCATGCAAAGTTTCAAAGTATTTCAAGAAGAACTGTAATCACAACGGCACTCTAAAGTTGACAGAAAATGACGAAAACAGCAATTTTCAGTGATTTTAGCAATTTTCTATCAATTTGGGCGTGTCCCCACGTGTGCAACTTTTCGATTTTTAACTTTAAAACTAGCCTAATGCACAATTTATACCTATAGGAAGCAGAACTGAGCTCCACAACCCAAGGCATGGCCCAACACCAGAGAATACTAAATCGCAAAATTGACGTTTTTATAAAATAATTCTTCAAAAAAGCACAAACTTCAATGACGAATATCTTTATGAAGGAGCAAGCTAGAAAAACTTTCCGGTAGATTTTCAGAATGCTTGAACAATTATCTAAGGTAATAATTTCCTCAGATTTTGAATACAATTACTTTTTAATGGTGTAAAATCATTTTTAAAAGTTATTACTTTGTCAAAAATCAAGTTTTAAAAACGGTTAACTTGATGACGTCATCAAGGGGTGTTCATGACGTCAAATAATTTGTTTATACAATGTAAACTAAAGTGTAAACAATTATTTTCAAGACCTGTGGTCGGAAATGGCTGTATCTTTTATACTTTTGAATCTATGGACAATTAAATACAGGCTACAATTGACTGGCAAAGCGTCTATCCCTGAATATATATATATATGTATATATATGTATAGATATCACGACAATCTGTCGTAAAACAGGGGTTCTAGAAAACCCACTTCCCGATGTTCCTGAAACCTCAAACTTTTTTTGCAGTCGATTTGGTCAACGTCTAGACGCCTTGAAAAATTTCAGATCTCTAACTCGATTTTAACATGGTTTTTAAGGCACCTGAATATATGGCGATTTTGGGTTTTTTACCGAATTTCGTATAACAGTGCTGGCGAGTATTTTATGCAAATTTCTTAAAAATCTCAACATAACTATTTTTTATTCCTGTCATCTTTGACATCAAATTAGAATGTTTTGAACTAAAAATAAATCTGCTGAACGACTTCCGATGAGTCTTAATGCCTGAAAAACTTCTGCCGGAGGCGGCGGCCTTCGGCCGCCGCCTCCGGCCGGAGTGCACGCTTCGCGTGCACGAAAGAGGCTTGTAACGTGTACCAAAGGGGGTATAATAGTAAAACTAAAGGGGGTATAATAGTAAAGGGGGTACATAGTATACCCACAATAAATGCACCGGTCGTGCTTGCCAGCACTGTGATATATCACGACAATCTGTCATAAAACAGGGGTTCTAGAAAACCCACTTCCCGATGTTCCTGAAACCTCAAACTTTTTTTGCAGTCGATTTGGTCAACGTCTAAACGCCCTGAAAAATTTCAGATCTCTAACTCAATTTTAACATGGTTTTTAAGGCACCTGAATATGGCGATTTTGGGTTTTTTACCGAATTTCGTATAACAGTGCTGGCGAGTATTTTATGCAAATTTCTTAAAAATCTCAACATAACTATTTTTTATTCCTGTCATCTTTGACATCAAATTAGAATGTTTTGAACTAAAATAAATCTGCTGAACGACTTCCGATGAGTCTTAATGTCTGAAAAACTCCCGCCTCCGGACAGAGTGCACGCTTCGCGTGCACGAAAGAGGCTTGTAACGTGTACCAAAGATGGTATAATAGTAAAGGGGGTATAATAGTAAAGGGGGTATAATAGTAAATGGGGTACATAGTATACCCACAATAAATGCAACGGTCGTGCTTGCCAGCACTGTGATAATATGTATAGACGCTTTTTGCAGTCAATTGTAGCCTACATTTAAGTGTCCGTAGATTCAAAAGTATAAAAGATACAGTCATTTCGAACCACAGGTTTTAAAGATAATCGTTTATAATTTAGTTTACTTTATATTGAAAAATAATTTATCATCATCATCATCACTTGATGACGTCATCAATTTAAGTGTTTTTAAAACTTGATTTTTGACAAAATAACAACTTTTCAAATCGATTTTACACCATTAAGGAGTAATTATATTCAAAATCTGAGGACATTTTCACCTTAGATAATTGTTTAAGCATTCTGAAAATCTACCGGAAAAGTTTCCTACCTTACTCCTTCATAAAGATATTTGCTATTGAAGTTAGTGCTTTTTTGAAGAATAATTTTATAAAAATACAAAAGTTGTGAATTAGTATTCTCTGGTGTTGGGCCATCCCTTGGGTTGTGGAGCTCAATTTTGCTTCTTAAAGGTGTAAATTGTGTTATAGGCTAGTTTTAAAGTTAAAAATCGAAAAGTTGCACACGTGGGGACACGCCCAAATTGATTTAAAATAGCTAAAATCACTAAAAATTTTGATTTTCACGATTTTTATCAACTTTGGAGTCCCGTTGTGATCCAAGTTCTTTTTGAAATCTTCTGAAACTTTGCATGCTTATCAAACTATATATTAAATACCACTATGCAAAAATTTACGGTGATTCAATATTGTATGCGCACGCAACGTCCGCTCAAAGTTTGCACGTGCGAAAGGTGAGAATTTTGCTCATTCGTGATTTCGAATATATTCTGCTTTCCACGATATTTAAATGGCATTATATATGAATTTAATGCCAACTTGAATGAGTAAAAAGTGCCATATTCAGTCGGTTATCGACAGATATACCTAACTAAACACAAGGAAACGTTTTCAAAGGCAGAATTTCGAAATCGTCGAAATTACCTCCTTGTTAATGAAGTTTCGACTAGCTGTGTAAATTATCCTGACATTATAATCAAAAAGAGATGATATTTGACCAAAACCCATAATCATGGGTAGAGTGTACCGCTGCCAGTGTCTCTCTTTTCCAAACAAAAGGAAATGATATAAATTTGAGGAACAGTCCGCTAATGCAAATTGATACCGAGAATGAAATCGGTCGCTCGCTTTTTCCATTCGATCACGGCTCACGAATTGTAATAAAGCTTATTGATTTGAAAAAGCGAGCGACCGATTTCATTCTCGGTATCAATTTGCATTAGCGGACTGTTCCTCAAATTTATATCATTTCCTTTTGTTTGGAAAAGAGAGACACTGGCAGCGGTACACTCTACCCATGATTATGGGTTTTGGTCAAATATGTATACATAAAATCTGCTTTTCAGCGTAAGATCTTTACTTATTAGTATATTCAAACTTCAAGAATGCCAAATCTTTTTCCCTACTATAATTGCCGAGGGAAATAATATCGTAGGGAATAAGTAATCGGGTTTGGATATATGAAGTGAAAAAATGGGGATACGTTGAGGACAAAAGTCTGCTCCTTCGCAATAGACCACTCCCCTTTAATTATTTGTTTAGGAAGCGTCGGCCATGCGTTAATTAATTACACCGAAGTTCCTCCTCATTGTAGGGAAAATAGATCGTGCGTGGTTTAACTACGGCCAAATTCTCGTTTTTATGCTCAATATTTCAACAACTTTATTAACTTAATCAACCATCTGAACCGATATTTTGTGCAGGGAAAAAGAAGAGAAGAAGCCGGAAATAAATAACTATAGAAATTTGGTGGTTTCAATTTAGTAAGCCGGCTCCCCTGTTCACTTAATCTCCAGTTTGGGCTGTGGAAAGAAATCAAGACATGTTAACCACATTCCTGACTGCCACAAACAATTTGACTATCGAGGTTGTGATCTTGAAACACATGATTGAAGGAAACTGGACGAACGTTCCATCAGATGGCTACCGTACTCTATAATATAGTGTGGCAAATCCAGAGAACGATGTCATGTTTACAAGTCTTGTCGTCCAGCGTGTAAAGGAATCAGATGTAACACAGCACCGTGCAGTGATAGTCATTGATGATAAGCAGCAAAATTCCGACATGATACCAGTGACATTATCCCCAACTGATATTTTTAAATTATTCAGTTTAACTGTGATAAAAGCCTTTATTCATTTTCAAACAAAAAGGAATATGAAACACTAATACAAAGTTACTGAGTATAAATCAGCCGACCGGTGCTGAAAATTAAATATATAATGCCTACTGATGAGACCAGCAGGCATAATGTCGATCTGAGGGGCTGCCCCTCACCAGGTCGCGGCTCAATTCCCAAACTCCTTAATTGCGTGGCTTTTCTGTTACTTATATATGTAAATATACGTTTCAGCACTGTGTGACGAGGTAGTAGACCCCCGCGCTAATTACGGAGTTGGATTTTCGCGCGACCTGGTGAGGGTTGGGTTACATCTTGGTGACGCAGTAACCCAAAAAACCTTACCGCCTGGCTAGGCTTGATTGACGAATGACGATGTAGACCCTTCAGATCGTGGCAGTATCGAGATAGCCCGACCACTGGTCCGCGGACCACTGTCCGCGGACCACTGTCTGCGGACCACTGTCCGCGGACCACTGTCTACCAGATCATATTACTGTATAATAACAGTATCCCCTGAATCAAGCAGGGTTCACATCATCCCCTGAATCAAGCAGGGTTCACATCATCGCACGCGAATTGGAATTGGAATAGTTGTTGTTGTTGATGATGGCAACTGATAATACTTCACCAAAAACGAACGACTTATATACCACATTTTAATCGTAATCATTTATTTCATTGAGCAATCAATATTATTCGTAACTAATTATATCCGAGAGACCACATTTGAATCGTAATCAATAGTTTGATCCAGTAATTTACTACGCTACAATTAATTATGCTAGTCGTAACTAATTGCATCCAAGATACCATACATAGTATACCATTCATATGATCTGGTAACCAATCAACTATTCACAAACACCTGTTGCTTGATTCAGGGGATACTGTTATTATACAGTAATATGATCTGGTAGACAGTGGTCCGCGGACAGTGGTCCGCAGACCAGTGGTCGGGCTATCTCGATACTGCCCAGATCGTTGCTCTGCGAATTAACAGAGCAACTCGTTACTCGATCCCTCGATGCGATGTAAGAATTCGAATGGTAGTTTGCGCGGCGCGTCGAATTGGCGAAGTCCTCCAACGCCTTTGATACATGTTTCGTATCCAAGATATTATTTTTTCGGCGGAGCGCGCTTCGCGCGCGAAAAGTGGCATGCAACGTATGTCAACAACGCTTAGCAAGTAGCGGACTTGCTAGAAGTCGTATTTTTAACAGCCGATTTGAGCTCGCGCGCAACATTAAGCACCAAGCACGCGCTCGGCACATTTTGCATTGATATGACCTTGATGGATGTTACTCTTATAAATTTCTTCGAAATAGGCGCGCGCTGCTTTCTTTTTTAGGCAAGTGCTACGAAGTAGCGCGCGCCGGGCTAGTCCATTAAGAATGAACAATATTGACCACGCTGCACGTGCAATATAATTCGGCCGATCAGAGGAGAGAAATCCGCAAAGTTAAAATTGAGAGCTTGCTCTATCCAGAGCGCTTGCACTTGCAGTGCAAGTGGCGTGCGCCTGCTTTTTGTGAAACAAGCGTGCCCGCAATACTGGCACGAAAGCACATGGTTATATAAAGTTGCTAGCTTTTGTTTGGCCCGAAAGAAGACTTTTTCTGATAGCTAGTAAAACCTACATTATCCCAAATTGAGCTCCTTGGGAGCTAACTTTCAAACAAGACCAGAGACGAACATTTTGTTGAAAACCGGAGGTCTTTATTTGTTTTCCTTTTAGGACCATATCTTTTAAACATTCACATAAGGAGGGAAAAATGTTGTGCCAACTCATGGCGCTTATTACGTTATAGACTACAGACTATTAATGGTGTTGTACAAAACATGACAAAAACTGAAAATGGGTCAATATGAATTTTCAATTTTCTTTTGGATTGTCACTTACTTTGAAGCCTGCAAACTTGCAATAGATTACTATAGTCGCCTTGAAAACACTGAAAACGAACTAATCTGTGCTGCATTTTACGAACACATCATGTTGGGACTTCCTTGGTATACCAACACCTCAAAGCTTCTCACCAAATACAACTTCACCCCCTCATCTTCCTAAAAATATTTCCACTCAAATACTGGCAAGTGCATAATGCGATAGGACCTTAAAATAAAATTGAACCATACAAACTCGATTTATTTATTTTTCTAAAACTAGCAGTATATAACATTTCTAAATTATCCCTACACACTTGTAAATAATTAGAATTGTGTAACTTAAATTATTTCAGAATTACAACTATTGTGTACTCAATAAAGTAATTATCATTTTTTGTATCATTGTATCCTTGTATCCTTGTATCCTTGTATCCTAGTGAAACAAATTTTTAGTGAAACAAATTTAAAATTTTATCCTTTATTTTACAATCATAACAAAAAGCGGCAAAACCAGTGGCGTAACGAAAGGCCCTGCTGACCCCGCTGTGCAGGGGGGCGCCGTCTTAGGGGGGCGCCAAATCGTCGTTTGAATGTGGGACAATTTCGAAAACTTAACTAAAGTACTAGCAAAACTGCGCGTTTTGCTCTAGATACACACTTTTTTAGAGATTTTACCGGCGTATTCTTTAAAATCACCTAATTTGTTCAATTTTAGGGAGGGGCACCAAAAGGGGAGGGGGTGCCAACAGGGGGGCGCTTTTTTCGGCAGGGGGGCGCCAACAGGCAACGTTACGCCACTGGGCAAAACCTCTTTCTCACATGGGAAAATACAATGACATTTGACACCACGTGGAATAACTTGATCTATCAACTTAGTCCGGAACTGTTAAAGTTTCATGTCAATGCTATTCATGACACTGCGTCAACACCTAGCAACCTAAAGCTTTGGAATAAAGCCGTTTCAGGAAACTGTAAACTCTGCAGCAAACAAGGGACACTCAATCATATCCTGACGTTCTGCAAGGTTGCTCTAAGACAGGGACGTTTCAACTGGCGCCATGATCAGGTCCTACGTGAAATCATGAAGACCGTTTCATCACAGATTGAAGAGTTTAATTCCGACATCGCCAAGGAATCGAAGAGGGCACCGTCGGTCTTTCACAAGGCAGGCAATAAGCGCGAGAAGGTTACCTTAGCTGACCCAACTCATCATAAGACCCAAAGATATTTCTTTTCAGATGCCAACGACTGGAAGATAATATTTGATGAGGATGAGAGACAGAGGAACTTCCCGCAGCACATTGCAGCTACACCACTAAGACCTGATGTAGTGATCTATTCAGATAAAGCAAAGAAGGTTTATCTAATGGAGCTGACTTGTGGAAATGAGCAGAACTTTGCTGATCAAGAGAAGCGAAAGATGAAGAGATATCAGCAGCTGACAGAAGAGATAGAAGCCAACGGATGGGCTTGCAAGCTCCAGACAGTAGAAGTGGGAGCTCGAGGCATTTACAACTATAGCCTCCCAACCTTTATGAACCACCTGAACGTAAACAACAAAGAGAAGAAGAAGGCCTGCATGAAGATCGCTGAGATCAGCCTGAGGGCATCGTATACCATCTATTTGTCCAGAAACAATACCATATGGACAGATGATTGGGAGTTAGTCAAGAGACCAGTAATAGCATAGTAGGAGCGTAGAATGTTTGGGCCCAGAAAAACATGTTTAATACCGCTATGAACCCGTCATAAGCCGGGGACTACTATGAAAGTGATGATGCTGTGTTGTTGAAAGACCTTCGACCAATCAAAGATGTACCTCATCACGCCAAGCAGTTATGCTTGTAGGTGAATATACACTTATAGAGTACAACAACTTTATAACACTCCATAATATTTATAAGCCTCCGTTTTGAAAGTTTTAAATTTTAATATATTCACATTTCTATTTAAAATTCAATTTAATGTATAAATCAATAACTGGCCGCCAAAGCCGCGCATTCTTGAAAACAGAATTAAATTGTTTATGATTATACGACAAATAGAAATAAATTTAAAACAATCCGTGGTTTTTTAAAAATAAATTATAATCTTACCTAAATCCAAAGCCAGCTTTGTAAAATTTACTATTTACTATTAGATTTACATTTATAACCCTGCACGCATCCGTTCTTATGCGGCGCGGCTCAAGCCGCGCATGCACGTATTATTTTATACTTTTTGCTTTCTAATAAATATCGTGTCAATGTGTACGTCTAAATGTTCATGTTTTGTGTAAAACGAATCCAATTGAGCTTAGTGACAAGGATAAGGACCCAAGTGCCTGTACGGCTTTTTCGGACCCCTGTGGACCACTACTCTTGAAATCGCTTTACAACTAGTGAACATTTACAACTGTTATATAATATATAACGTCATTTGACAATTATTATCATTAATCTACAATCTAACTGTCTTGCTGAGGGGGAGGAGTAAACGCTTCACAAACTAAGATACTTACAACATACAAAATTTAAAACCATCAACACGGTTATAGTTAATATCAAGGGCCAATTTGGTATACCTCTATTTCGTTGTAATATCTAGTATATCTTCACATCTTAATACTATAATGAAATACAATAGGATACATGTTTCGAGAAAGAAAGGTTGGTCCGATTATTAACAAAAGTAAACAAAAGTCCATCAGGGACTCCACGGAGTCGAAAAAGGTACACGGCTGCTGTCTGGTGCTGCTAGGCATTTATTGATCAAGATGTTTTATTGTATTGGTTTTTTATGATTCTATTGTTCGTGACTAATCAAGTTCTAAGTGGGGGTATAAAGTGCTGCCTAAGATACTTCGTCATCTCATGTCCAGTATAATGAATATCCTTGTATCCTTGTATCCAGTACCTCAATTTGGTTTCATACCATCATTAATTAATTAACTAATTGGTCTCTGGCCGCAAAAAGTCAAATTTGTGTTCAGAATTTAAATATTCATATTTGTAAATTATGGGCCTGGGACAGAAATTGGAAAATATGAATTTTTGTTTTATCAAGGGAACGTGGGACGTCAGCAAGATTTTTGCCAATTTTACCCCCCCCCCCCCTCCCCTGTCAGTAGTAAAACAAAGTATTTTTAGTAAAACAAAGTAT